AAAGGGTGCGTGATCCAAGGGGTAGAGCAGCATGGCGTCGAATCAACTGCAGGCCGATTGAACCAGCAACAGCAGATATAAAAGAGGCATAAATGGCCGCTGAACTGCTGTAACCATCTTGACGCCGAGATGACGGTTGGCTCTGATTTGGCCGTGGTTGCCCAGCGGGTTGGGTACCGAGCTGACTCTGGTTGTCAGACGACAGCCCTTTCACCAAGTCCAGCGAGGAGACACTTCCTAGGGCAGAGACTATTACAATAAGATTAGCAATGTCCAGAATTACTCTACGAGCTGGTCATAGACATACCTTTCAAAGTTGTTGTGCCGACGACGATCCTATTTGACTCTGCGTCATTTCCCCTCACATACAAAGGGTTCAGGCTTTCGAACTCGGGAGTGGGGGAGAACACCCAAAGCCCTAGACGCCTTGGACATGAGGCCAGGCAATTCAAACCTCTCAATCGAGCCTCTAAATCTTTGAGACGACTCAAGTGCTTGAGAATAGTGTAGCCATTGGCGGGGCTCTCCTGTGGATTATTTGCGATACCAGCTTCTTCTGTGTATATTCTCCAGTAAATATTGGAGAATCCATCCTGATATGACGCGTCAGCGTGGACGTGAAGGCACTGTAAATTTTACGATAACTCACAACAAGATGTATGTTGGTGTTTGCGCCGCCAGGGAAGTCCATAATTCAACGGTCGCGGTCGCGGACAGCCCCGGAAGCCTTTAAAGATAGAAATAATTTTGAAGATGACTCTGGAAGTCATTTCCAATCGCAGGTTGCATGGTCTGTGGCAAGGAGTGAAAGCGCATAACAGAGAGATCAACAAGCAGCGAATACATTAGCTGATTGATACCATGTTGCGCGGAAGTGATCAACAAAGACTAGGAGGTCTGGCACAACACTCTCACTCAAATGAAATCAGCGCACCAAATGAAACAGTAATGAGTTCAAACACAAGGCTTATCGCATGAAGTCAACAGAAAGTTGAAATGCGTAATTCCGGGGGACGTTCGCCAGGGACACTCGGGCCAATCAACTGTCCCGATTATCACGTGATCGCTATCAGTGGCTTTTTATCGCAGTTTTTTTTTATCTTTTGCAGGTTCGCTTTCGCCGACACTGATAGGTTGCAAATAAGTTGCAAATCACCTCAAAACAACTGGCTTGGCCTTCTTTACACCAGAATATACCAGCATGAAGCTGTCCAACCCATCCGAAGTCCCGGTATATACCATCTCGGGCTCAGACAGTGCTCGCCCGCTTCCCGAATGGCTTGCTAGACGGCGCAAGCGCAGCTTGAAAAATGACCCCGAGTATGCCAACCGAGTTGAATTACTGCAAGACTTTGAATTTGAGGAAGCAAGTCACTGTGTTCGAGTCAGTGAGGATGGAGAATGGGTTATGAGCACAGGTTCGTATTAGTGATCCTCATATTTTCGTAAAAGCGCATACCCTAACACTCTTGTTTGCAGGAACTTACAAGCCACAAATTCACACCCACTACCTTCCGCAATTGTCCCTTTCATGGGCGCGTCATACAAGTTCGCTCAACACCACATTCATCCTACTGTCTTCCGATTATACCAAGTCCCTCCACCTCCAGTCTGATCGATCTCTTGAGTTCCACACTCCCTCGGGCTGTCACTACACCACCAGACTTCCCCGATATGGACGTGACATTGTCTACGATCGCCAGTCAACTGAAGTGCTTGTTCCTGCAGTTGGTGTCAATCAGGATGGCATGGGAGAGGTGTACCGATTGAACTTGGAGTTAGGCCGATACATGCGGAGTTTTGAGGTTGATGTCGGAGGTGACGATTTTACATCCACAGGTGGCGGAACTCTCCAAGGTGGAATCAACACAGGCTCCGTCAACACCGGTGCTATTGCGGAACAGAGTCACAATTTGTTGGCCTTCGGAACTTCATTGGGGACAGTTGAGCTATGGGATCCTAGGGCGAAGGGACGCGCTGGTGTGCTGTCTACCCCCACCCAAGTTGGACTACACGATGAGCGATCAGAGATCACTGCGCTGGAATTCAATCGCTCCGGTATGAGCCTCGGAACCGGCTCGTCTAATGGCCTCATTCACCTCTACGACTTGCGTTCGCCCGTTCCCTTCCAGATCAAGGACCAAGGATATGGGTTCCCTATTCACACTCTCCAATTCCTCGAGCAGTCGTCTGCAACACAAGCTGCGACAATCGAACCCAAGTTGCTCTCGGCCGATAAGCGCATCATCAAGCTTTGGGATATCGAAGATCAAAAGCCTTGGACCTCTGTCGAACCGGCTGTGGATCTCAAGTCTGTTGCTTGGTGCAAGGATAGCGGCATGCTCCTCACAGCCAATGAAGGCCGACAGCAACACTCATTCTTCATCCCGCAGCTTGGCCCAGCACCGAAATGGTGCTCATTCTTGGACAACCTGGTTGAAGAGATGGCTGAAGACCCCAATGACCCCAGCGCATTCAAGTCTGCTCAGTCTAGTTCTGTCTGGCCCGGATTCACGCTTGTGCCCAGTGAAGAGGTCGCTAAATGGGATGCCAAGCTCATCAAGGCAGGCGGAGAGCCCATCGATCTGGCGTCCTACATGCAGTCAGGAAAGATGGTACCTTACTCTAAGGGCTACCAAGTGTCTAACTTTGTTTATAACTCTATTACTGGGTTGTTCCCCGACACAGAAAACCCCAGAGCGAAGAAGGTGGCCGAAATTATGAACAAGGAGCGGGAGAGCCGCATTCGTGGCAAGAAGAAGGTTGCTGTCAAGGTGAACAGGAGACTGGCCGAAAGGATGCTGAACGCGGAGGAGAAGAGGGAGCGCAAGCATGCCAAACGCTTATTGGAAGGCTCCGGCGACCAGGAAATGGTCGATGCTGCTGCTGCCACTCCTTCCGCAGGCGAGGACAAGAATGTATTGGGCGGTGGCCGTTTCGCCCAGCTGTTCGAGGACCAAGATTTCGCTGTCGACGAGACTTCACGCGAATTCCAGTTGCTAAACCCCAGTACGGTTCCCCAGGCTGCTGCCCCATCAGCTTCGAGAAAGGAGCGTGGCTTGACGGCAGTCGAGCAAGAAGCCATCGACGACGTTCCCGGCTCAAGCTCCGACTCCGACTCCGACAGCGAGGCGGAAAAGCCCGCCAAGACAGCGGCTTCCAAAAAGATATCCTCTGCAGACTACAAGCGGACGAAGCGACCTCCGCCTCGTATGCAAGTATCTTCCTCAAATCAAGCCAACTCCACCCGGGATCGCTCCTTCGGTTCCCGTGCGCAGAATATGAAGTCGAGACAAAAGCCTGCACGACGCGTTGGTGTAGTCGGCGAGCAAGAGATGAGCTTCAACCCGGCCGGGAAGCCGAAGCGCGCTGCCCCCGAAGTCCGTTACGACAAGACCGACACATCATTCCGGGCCAAGGAACGCCGCAGTGCTTCTGGCAACACTTTCCGCAAGATGTAATATGTTTTGCCGTTCTTGTCCTTTTCTTGTGCCATTTTCTTGACACCACACAATCTTGTCCAGCCAGGAAGTCTTCTCATCCAACTACGAAGTGTGCTATTGGCCTTTTCGTCTTCCTCACTGGGCAAAGCTTTATTACGGGCACACATGTCCTCTGGCTGGACCACTACCGAACACCAGGGTCAATCTCATTGGCAACCTTTGTTGCTCCTATGTGAAATCAGGCGCTGTGTGAGGCGCTGCTGTGTTGTTCCCAAGGCCGCATTTTTTTGAACCTACGGCAACTTTCTCAATACCCTATTTGCACACTATCTCATCATCATAGACAGCTTTGGTGTAACGCCCGAGAATTCAAAGCTCTGGTGCACATATCTTTTTGAATGACCACTCTGTATCTTAATGTCTCAAAAGCGATGCCAACAATTTTGAATATCATTCAGCTATTTTTTCACTTTTCTCCTCACACTCCCTTTCAATTTTATACCTAGTCATTCAATAGTAGACGACTTTCAACCCGGACTCAGCATGCATACAGGGTTATATAGGTAGTAAAGGAGAAGTAGATGGAATCCCGAGCTCGCACTAATAGACCGATACTCTAATCGAGTTTTTGTATAAAGCGCCTTGTTTCGTCATTCTATAATAGGAGCTAGGACCGCCGTTAGAGCTGCCCTCTAGTTTATAAATAAGTAATATTCTAAAGTAATAAGGGAGTGATTCAAGGCAGAAAATGTTTCAGATAGGCATTAGTGTTGGACAATCTCCGTAGCGTTCCTTCGCCGGCTTTATATGCCATCGCTGTGAAAATTATATCTAAATAGCTACGTGGCTGCTAATATAGAAATTCTCCCTTAAACGGTTGTTTCGTTGAAAAATGCATTCGGATATAGCATTCGCCGCTATACAGCCGATTAGTGGCCTGCAAGAAGGGATGTCTCGTTTCAGATTACTATTGCTTAAACCACTTGCATCCGTGGCTGTAAATTACAGCCATACATTAGGGGAACCACTGGCTGCCACTGTAGGTAGTATATTCGGCAAGGTTGCGAGTTGCTTTCAGACATAGTTCGTTGTAGGTTGTGATTTTCTTCAAATCTCAAGGCTCTAGGTGTGACGGGTCATGTCCACCTAATTTTAGTCCCCCGGGGGCCATTGACACACTCCTAGGAACCCATTTGGGGGCTCTCCGGATTGTAAGGTCCATATGTCCACTAGGCTGACATGCCAAAAAGGCACAATGTTTAGTCAGAAGGCTAACGATTAGTTTCTTGAAAAACTCAACAGTTAGCAGATCTTCAATCCCTTCACAGTATTCAGGTTTTCTCTTTCTCTTCCAGCGTTCGACAATTCGTCTCCTTGATTCTAAAAAAAAGCAAGTCCCGTGAATATCAATCGGCATTAAACGCATTTTACTAGTCGTATCTATCTAATCTAGTATTCCTTAGATACAGATAAAAGAAACTCACTTATGTATTAGCCGCGATAAACTCATTATAAACATGAAAATCGGTATCCTATATGACATCCTTGGTGCAAAGTTCAAGCAAAGAGTCCGGTGGCCATGCTGCCCTGCAGCATCTCAGCAAGTCGCCCCGGAGTTTCAGCAAATATATGTTCCCAGCGGAAGGTACCCATGTCCTTTCTTCCTCCTCCGATATTATCGACTTCTGACCTTGATTTGAGAAAATACCTGTCAACGAGGTCGTTAGGTAAAGTGGAGCGGATGATATCCAATAAATAAAGTCCGTCATCATCTCCTGATGTGGGAGATGACAATGGAAATGGATAGGCTCGATGGTCGGCAAGGATTGCTTGAGACAGGCGATCATGATCCATTCCGATGAATGTTTCCTCATGCTCTTTATTTTCTGCACAAGAACCGTGCGTATGTGGTGGTGCAGGAGACGTGGAACTGCTCTCTGGCGGCCCATCGGAAATTCTGGCGATATATTCTTCGTGTGGACCATGAATACTGTTACCCAAGATGCAAATCATCGGAACATGAGTCAAGGTAGACTTCTGAAGCTCATCAAACGTCACAGGAGTCAACTCCCAGTGAAGTTGCGGGATAATATGGTGTCCCAAATCCTGTGGTGTTCTTGGCCCCTGGAGCGTTGCTATGTGTGCATTCAGATGATAGCCTAGCTGAAATTTAGCTATAGGCACGCGACATAGTTCAAGATGAGAGAATATATACCTTCGGAACAGAAGTGCCGATCTACCAACAGCATAGGCCAATTGTTTGCTGCCCAGGCACGACGGCAGACAAGAAATCCAACATATGCGGCGATGACAAGGTGACCTTTAGGGGACTTTTTTATCGAATTCTCGACTAGTCTGTAGATTTTACTCTTAATAATAATGTTCAAGTTAATGTAAATATGCACTTACCTCTGTGCCACTTCAGAGAAGGAAAGCTTTGCTGCCCATATCCGGACCCAAGAACATGAGAGAGCTGATATCCATTTTTGCAGGGATTTGAATCGTACATCCAACCGATTGGAACCTGTTGCCTTGTATAGGCTATTCTTTTGATCCCAGAATGACGAAATCAACTGTGAGGCATAGGCAGCGGCATCTTTAGGCTGAAGACGGATCACGGTGTTTTGGGTAGGGGACTTGCAGCTCTGCCTGTACTTCCCCAATATGAACATTGCAATCAAATATCGAATGACAACGTGCTGATTTTCCACATCCCACTCTGGAATCTGGGAATCGTTGGAGGGTGGGTGGTATTCGGGCTCTGTCCAACCCAGCGAACTAATAATTTTGTCCATTGCATCGAACTTTGATCCGAAGCCGAGCCTGCTCGGACATGTGTTGTCTGAAGTGAGCTTTAAGCAGATGGCTTGGGCATTCTTTCGCGTGAGTTTTAGTCGTTCAATATAGATAGGAATTTGTAAATCTTTTCTCGAATGCTCAACTCCAGCATGACATCCCTTTTGGTAAAAGGAATAAAGCTCCATTAGCATTCCGGCACGTACGTGGCAGGCAGTTTCTCCCACATGGCCGTCGAAAGCTTTAAATCCCGCCGTATCGTTTTCGTGCTTTTGAGAAGATAAAAGTTCGTCAAATAGCGTGAGTGAATCGATGGCATCGGTACAATCGCGGACAATGTCTGACAAGAGAAGTGGGTAGTTCTCGCGCTTTTGAGAAGCACTGGTTGCACCAAACGGTAGGACTGTGTATGCCATTTGTCTCTCTTTTGCTTGGTGGAGTTCGTCTTTTCTGCAGGATTCGCCAGAGTAAGGCATATGCAAAATATATCCCCACCAGACAGGGTCTTACCAGAATTATAAGAATATATATGGGATAAGATAAACGATTGGGCTTAAGAGAACCCAAGAAAATGTAGATACTGGTAAGTGGCTGAGGACTGTAGGATTGTATTTTTTAAAACAAACACAGCTCCTTTTATGGCTCGGATCGGCAGCCGGCATGATTTATTAGGTTTAAGGTTAAACTTTCATCGGCCGCCCGAGCCTAGTGCTCCCGAAGTCGCCGCAATCTCGGAAGACTTCGAATCTAGATCCGCGAATTTGTTCCATCATGTTCTGGCCACGATTTCCATTGATTTGCTACTTTGTGATGTAAGCTTACGGCAACGACTTTTCTTAGTACCAGTCCAAATAAAACAAACAATCACATCAGTACGAAGTCCCGTCTGTTCCGAATAATGACGAAATTTAATACCTGATATGGTGGTTACATTGATGATTCAATGACCACCTAATACAACAACAGAGGCAACAGATATATATCCCATATATGGGAGTTGGCCCCATCTCTGGTACCCATTACGAATGAAATCGGAGTCCACAAAACATCTATATTGCAAACATGCGTATTGTCAAGGCAGCATACCACTACGTGAGCGAATTGGAGCGCACCATCCCAGATGGCCTTGGGTATCTTGGGATTGGGTCTTCTATTTTGTTCTTGTCATGTGTGTTTCTGATTTACATTGTCGTGAAAGCCATTGTACGCCTTTACTTCCATCCCTTGAGTGATATACCCGGCCCTCGGCTGGCTGCTGTGAGTAGATGGTATGACTTTTACTATAATGTCATTCATGACGGTACCTACTCCGGCCAGTGGCTACAAATGCACAAGAAGTATAGTAAGTGAAACATGGAATGCAAAAGGAGTTAAGACTAACGTGAGGTAGATTCCCCGGTCATCCGCATTGGAGTTAATCATGTGCACGTAGCAGATGAAAGTCTTTATCATGAGTACAGTGCTCCCAGTGATCCGTGGAGCCGCTTTTTTACCTAACATGCTATAGGATTTACTGCTCTGGGACCCAATACAACAAGGATCCATCATTTTACAAGCGCCTTGGCCTTGATGGAGCAATTCTAACAATTACGGACCCCGAACAACATCGAGCTTACCGAAATATCATCAATTCATTGTTTTCGGCTAGAACAACCAACGAACTGGGCCCAATTATGGCCCTTGAGCTACAAAATGTAGCTAAATATTTAAGCAAGAAAAACAAGGAAAACACCCCCATTATAATCCAGCGCGTTTATCGTTCTGTATCGGTAGGTCGGCATACTTCCCATATCTCGGCCGGGATTTTTGCTTACTGTTCTCCCCTTGTGGGGGACTAGGCTGACATGGTATGCGAACTGATGTTCGGGAAATCTCTCAACTTGGTTGAGACCCCTGATGCGTACCACGACCTGATGCAAAGTGTTGATCGATTCAGTGCCATAACATGGCTGAGTATGGAACTTCCAAGTCTAAACCACGTGTTGACTCAGTAACTGATATGATTAAGAAATGCATTTCCCTATCATAAACAATATCGTCGCAGCGTTCCCTGGCTTTCTTATCGACATGATTCTTCCTGGATGGCTGGGCTACCGAAAGGTAATGTGACTATTTTGATCATCATCTAACATTCGCTGTGTCATATTAACAGAATAATTGCCAATAGAAACTTGGAAGTTGGTATGCAGAGTCCAGTAATCGCTATGATCTGGGGAAAATAAGCGACAATCGACCTACATTCTATGATCTAATTGTGAATGCCCAATCGAAAGGGGGTGAAATGAGATTTGACCGCGATTTACTAGTTGACGACAGTCTTAACTATATCATCGCAGGCATGGATACGACAAGCTATACGCTCGCGTATGCGACATACTATATCCTGACCCTGAAAGATGTTAAGTCTAAACTCTGTGCCGAACTGGACGAGGCTGCACCCTTTATCCGTACAACGACAGACTTGAGGAAAATCCAACAACTGCCGTATCTGGTAAATATATCTGACTTTCCATCGTGTAAAGACTCGTTCTAATCTTCCAAAGACTGCAGTAATCAAGGAAGCTCTCCGCCTGAGTGTTGCAGCCCCTGGAGGTCTCCCACGACTAGTCCCTGCTCAAGGCATGGAGATTGGAAAGATCTTTGTGCCGGAAGGGGTGAGTGACCAAACAACATTTCTGGGACCCATGAAGTAACATCATCGCAGACTACAGTCTCACTATCGCATCGAGTTGTACAAATGAGCGAGAGAATATTTCCTAACCCCGATGAGTTCACCCCTGAGAGGTGGCTAGGCAGAGATGGCCTGGCTTTGGAAAAGTGGAATATCGCATTCAGCAAAGGACCCCGTCAATGCATCGGTATGAAGTATGTTTTATATCAATCAGCGGAACTCCCCTTACCATATGAAAGAAAGCTCGAAGCTAATGTTAAAACTTCAGCTTGGCGTATCTCGAGATGTACGCAAGTATTGCATACTTGTTTTCACGATTCGAGATGACCTTGTTCGAGACCGACAAATCCAGTATAGCGTCATTTGACCGATTTGCGGCTAGAACTAAGTCGGAAGTAAAAGTGAAGATATTAAGCGACCGATGGGAGGAGAATTAACTGGAGAAATCGGTTGGATATAGTTTTGAGAAGGCAATAATTAATCACGGATAATATATAATTGGAATGTCTCTAAATTTACTACTATATACGGACTTTGAAGTGACATCTGGTAACTCCAATCTGTTTTGATTGGGGCAAGGGAAACGAACACCAGATACGAACCTATCCCAAAACTAAAGTGTACTAGTTTTTCAAAGTAAGAGCCGCTATTCAAGAGATTTTGAAGGACATCCACTTAAGCTTGCACCTTTTTTTGATGCCTTGGAATCCCACTAGTTCGGGGCCGGGCCACCATCTAAACAAGGAGTCATGATCAAACCATCTGGCTGGCCTTGCTCATTTCCGTTCATTTACCAGTCTACGATATACAAGTAATATGACTGATAAGTTTGTCATTTGCAACCTAGCAATTTGAATTTTATCGTAGTTTGTTGGTTGGTCATACTGCATCATAGATCTATGCACCTAACTATTATTTCCAAGGACATGATGATGAGCTATGATGTCGTGCATATGCCTTTAATGACGATTGAGTATTCTCTCTACTTCCAATAACGGAGGCAGCCTGCAAGCGGACGTTTCATCTTCTGAACCCTGGGAAGAAGGTGGGAACATTCATGTCACTGCAGGCTTTACCTGTAAAAAATCGAAATGCAATCCAAGTGCCCCGACTTAAACTATTTAAACTTGTCCTTGCCCACCAATTGATATGAATCATGGTTGATCCAGCTAAAGACACGCGTGGATCAACTTATGAGAACTTATTCCTTTCATTGTTTTTCCTTTTCACAACAGCCTGAACCAACCGCTCAATCTGTTGAACATGGGTTCCGATGAGAATTTCAAGTACGAATTCGATGTTTCCGGGGAGAACGAACGTCTAGCTAGGCAGCACCAGGCTGTTAAGCTTGGAATGGGGAAATTAGTATTGGCCCCAATGGACACCTCGCGTGAAGGCCTCAAAGTCCTCGACGCCGGTACCTCAGACGGTAGAAACACTACTCATTGTCTTAAATCACAATTTTGAGGCTAATTTAAAATTTCTAAGGCTACTGGCTGAAGGAGTTTGGTCCTTCTTTGCTTCATCGTCAAACATGTGAATTGATTGGGGCTGATATTACAGGTGAAAGGTTCCCAGACAAACCTGAAGGATTGAAACTAGTTGTGCAAAACTCCGAGGGCCCCTTTCCTGATTCATGGAACCAGTCTTTTGATCTTGTGCACCAACGCTTTACCCTTAGCGGGATACAGAACTATAGAAAGTGCGTATTTGCGCTCCTCGGCTTGGTCAAGCCGGGTGGCTGGATCCAGCTGGTAGAACCGGAAGACATCTCTTCCGAGCCGAATGGTCCCCAAATGCAGTGCTTCGTGGATTGGGTCAAACTTTTTGCGATTAACTCAGGATCGGACTTGGGATTTCAGAATGGGGGACTCGAATCAGCGTTAAGGGAAGCTGGGCTTATCCGTGTCGGAACTATGGTGGCCCCTGTTTGTTTTGGCGCTGAATGCCCAGAGCCCAATATGCGTGAGCAAACGGTGAAAGCATGTTGTCATACTGCTTCTCAATTCCGGAATTCCTACAAACGTAAGTTTTACCCCCCGGACTAATTTCAGCCGTTACTGAAGTAACCCTCATGCAATTATATGGACTGCTAATGATCAAACCAGGTCATCACAACGGATCCGATGGAATAAACCCCACCGAAGGTGATTCATACGTCCCTCGCTTAGCTGATGAGCTGAGAGAGAGGGGGGGATACACGGCTGTACGAGTTGTCTGGGCACAGCGCCCATTCTGAGAATTTCCATATTATCATAACCTACAAACGTTTTAATGGCAGAAAATGACATTTTCGGTGGTAAATACCAAGGATTTCGCTCTTATCAACAGAAATCTCGAATATAAATAGGAGTATCACAATATATACTAGGAGAGCGGAACGATAATATCCGGTTGGTCCGGTTGATCCGATTGGACAATATGGGCCCGCTCTCTGCGCTAAAGCCGAAACAGGAAATTTCTGCGTATTCGCACATCTATTTACAATATACAACAACCTACTAAGATTCCAGGAAGAGCAACCCCTGGTAGATGCATTGATCTTTGCATCGATTCTAGGCTCCCAGTTTAAATATTTAGTCTAAATGTAAGCTCTCGCCCAACGTAGCTGTTGCTTAAAACGAATACGACATCGCTCTCCTACGCCTCCACTTGATTTATGGAGATCGATCTCTCCAGCGTAAAACCCGTTAGGGCACGACGGACGCATCAAAAGTCGCGCCTAGGGTGCGCAAATTGCAAACAACGTCGCATCAAGGTAAGGCTCTTGGCTCTCGATACTACCCGCTGTCATATCTGCCCCATCCTTTCCAATTAAGTCCTTGATTCACATTACTTGTGTTTCCCCACACTTTTCGATTACTATACATATTCTCGTCTTCTCTCTTCTCTACGCCTATTTTTCACTATGTTGGGAGCACTGCGCCAATTATTTTGCTTCTCTCAACGACGATTTATCGAGCTACCGGAAACTGACTTCTTCCAGTGCGACGAAAAAAGACCAGCCTGCTCCAACTGTTCAAACCATTTGATTGAGTGCGGATATTACACTGCTGCAGAGTCCCCCAGATCACAATTCCCAGAATTTCTAGAGTTTTCCACTGAGCGGCCACGTTCAAAACGATACCGACCTCATCATTATGCGACAGGTGGACTCAAACAGACTTTCAAAATATCCAAAAGTCAGCCATCGCCATATACCCAGCCAACCCAATCAATTGGAATACAATGTAGTCTCTCATCAGGCTTGACCGGCACGATATCCTTGGCCGATCTACAACTCTTACACCATTACACAGTCGACACATACCAGACTATGACGACTGGTCCAGTTCTCCAAAATTTGTGGCAAAAGCACCTCGTGCAATGGGGAATTGAGTTTCCATATATTCTACATCTCATTCTCGCTTTATCTGCCCTCCATCTGGCTCACGAACAGCCAAACCTCCAACAGCAATACATCCAACAAGCCGACGAGCATTTCAGCTTTGGGGTGCGATCAGTTGCAAGCGTGCTCTCCCAGCTAAATGCCGAAAGTTGCCAGAAGGTTTACATGTCAGCGGTTATTATATGTTTCATATACTTCGGCAGAGGCCCACGGCCAGGAGAATACCTCATCTTCAGCGACAGCGGACCCGCTCAATGGCTGATTCTCATGCGCGGAGTGCGAGTGATTGTTTCCTCTCACCATGAAAAAGTCTTCAGTGGGATTCTCAAGCCAGGACCCAATGACCGGAGTCGGAACTTAACAGCTGAGATGCGCATTGAATTGCATGAACATATTGTGCACACGGAAGCTGTTCAACGACTCATTGAGAGAGATATAGCCGACGAGGATATTTGTGGTAGGTACCTGGCTGTTATTGAAGATCTCTTCGAAATCATGCGCGAGGTTTACGAGAGACGATCTGGCGGGTCTTGTGGTGTGGACTTAATGGATCTCCTGATGGGGTGGATTTATCGTCTTCCCGATGAGACGATTGGCTCTTTAGAGCAGAAGGAGCCGCATAGTCTTGTAGTACTCGCGCATTGGGTTGTGCTTCTGAAGTACATGGACTCGGCGTGGTTCATGGACGGCTGGGCTGAACATATGTTATCAGGGATTTCTGCGCATCTGCACGAGGACTTCCATCCGTGGATTGAGTGGCCATTGAAGCAGGTATACCAAACTCAGATTGAATAGTTCTTTATACCAGTGAAATTCAACCTTTATATATTCGAATGATGATCATTCTCCTGTATAATTCTGAAAGTGCTGGACTACTTAGAACCAAAATTTTCACGTCGATCAGATTTCTATTCACAGGCAAGAAAATTGGAATTTCCAAGTTAATGCAAATTCTGCCTAGGCTACGATGAAACCAGGGTTCTTTACCTGTAGATCTGAGCAAAGGAGCAAAGTAGTGTACAACGGATCGGGTGGGTTTGCGTATTCGTTTCAAAATTTCCTAATCAGGTAATCGTAATAGATCGTCAAGGAACAGGGCGTTTAAGCTTGGTTTAAAAATAGGCGAGCCATCTCATAAAGGCTTAACAATTCCCCCACCTGTATCAAGTGTATCCATCAGACTATCAACCACTCCTTCGCAATGGATATCGACTTCCACCCCGGTGTTAACGGGTCCAGTCCTTATGTTGACTTCTACCCATATACACCCTCCGACACAGCAGGCTATGCATTCATGGCCATGTTCGGCGTTGCAACAATCTTTCATTTTGTCTTGATGTTTCCATTTCGTGCGGTATACTTCACTCCTCTCATTCTAGGAGGCGTTTGTACATTTCTCCCTCCCTTCAAGTGCTGGATTGGAATTCGACTAACAGGATCTTAATTAGGTGAAGCATTCGGATACTACGGTCGGGCATGGTCCCATAAAAGCAGAACGGAAATCTCCTCATGGGCCCTGCAAGAAATGCTCATCCTTTGCGCCCCGCCTCTCATCGCCGCAACAATTTACATGGTCCTCGGTCGAGTCATTCGCTCCTTCGGTGCCGAACATCTAGTCAGCTTGAGTCCTAAAAAGATCACGGTCATCTTCGTATTGAACGATGTACTCACTTTTTGTACGCAACTAGGCGGTGCTGGAGTCCAAGTCACTGGAGACGCGAATATCATGGCTATCGGTAAGAAAATCGTCTTAGCTGGTCTGATTTTCTCCCTGGCTGTGTTTGCCTTCTTCATTTGGATCGCAGCAACGCTGCATCGAAGACTTCTGAAAAATCCTACCCAGATTTTGATCATGAACGAGCTTCATTGGCGGCGATACATGTACGCTGTATACGCTGCTTGTTTTGCGTTGATACTGCGAAATCTTGTTCGAACTATTCAGTTCGGGGCGAGTAAGGATTCGGTTGTTAATCAAAAGGAGTGGTATATTTACGCTTTTGATGGATTTCTTATGTTCTTTTCTATGGTTGTTTTGATTTTCTACCACCCTGGTCTTCTAATCAAGAAGGCTCGTCGGCTGGCGAAGGTTGCTGATTTTCATGAGCCTCTAGGGGTGCCGGATATTCCGTTAACTCAGTATGAGCCACGGATGATGGCAACCTAGACAAATGTGCTGGTCACTATCGTGATTGCAATTTCATTTGATCTTTCCTTTCTTAACGTTGCATTTTGGGGGACCCCGATAATGGTGCATGGGTTGCTTTCTTCGATTACTAGTTCCTAAGAGCTTCATACAAATGATATTCTATCGAATGCTTTTCTACTTGTAGCACATATTCCACTCCAATGGGGCAAACCCGAACCTTCGAGATCAAATACCAGCTAGTTATACATCTAGACCTTTTTGTTACCGATAGTATTTTGAGACTAACAAGCGAAGAAACAGTCATGAATCTTCCAAACACCGATGAGTAAATGGAAACACTGGCAACATAGAGGACATAAACATATAAACAAACAAATTTGACCTCAAGTGTGGCCTTTTTTCTCTTGGTCGAAGTTTTCCTCCTTGTCCTCCAACGCAGGCGATGATTTGATGTGCCCCTGCTTTTGCTCCTGCACACACTTGTCGTCATCGGTTTTATCCATATGCTCTTTCACATCTTTATCCTGTCCACTCCACGGACCACTCTCCTCGTCGCCATTTCCCTTCATGCCATCGGGTCCGATAAGCCCTTCTGTGGCAACACCGAATCGATCCGTCCCTCGTTTGACCTTGCGAGTCCGGATACACCACGAAATGCCGAGCACCATTGTCATAAACCAAAGCAGCATGTTTACCAGGTCGATCCAAACCGCAGCGCGCATGCGGGGAACTGACACCGTCGCAGTTTCGTATTCTGTGTCGACATGGGAAGTGTAGAGGTTCCCAAAAACGCCCACCTGGGCAAGCCAAAGGACAAACAGAAGCCCATCCCAAGAGCACCATGCAACCTTGGTCACAGTAACGAAGCAATGCACAATGCAAGTCAGAGCAGAGAGTGCAGCAATAAATTCGGCGTATATCCATTCTGCGTGGGCATGACTCTCGATCTTCGTAGCCTGTGCTAAATCGACGCCATAAAGACCAGCAACTGTGACAGCGAAGACAAACTGGAGGGTGCGAAGGGTAGCACGGCTGAGAACACCGCAAAGTCCGCTTTTGTGCCAGTACTGATCAATCGTTTGAGGTGTGGATTTGGCCATGTTGGATATAAGGGGGAAAAGCGGTTTCACGATATGGCCCGCAAGATACGAAGATGAAAGTTCAAACAAATTGTGTCGGGGGGGTGTCTCCCATTACTTTTAACTGAGCGAAACTTAGTGCTACGTAAGTATATAGTGGAATATCCAAGGGTTCAAGGTTAAATTTCTAAAAAAAGGAACCCTAAAACTCTAATTGTTACAGTTTGTAGAAAGATTAGTCCGCTTTAGGAAATTTTATCGTACCTGTACATTATATTACTTATCTAGGCAAGTACACCTGTTGCGGCTAACCAATCGGAAGTCCTCAGAGTATAAAATGGAGATAATCATCTGAAGCATCCAGCAAAATGAACCCTGATCGGTGTATCCCTTCATATTTAACACATGATTGTCTATTCTTAGCCGTTTAACAGTGTCAATGGTGGCGACATCAATTTTTAACATCCTCCACTTCTATTCTTGCTTATCAACCCCCCCCCCCCCCCCCCCCCCCCCCCNCCCCCTCCTCTTCCCAGCCTGTTGTTTTCGACTTTGGATCCTGCTTCGTGAAGCATAAACGACACGTAGAGACGGACGCCAGCATGACTGATTTGGGACCAATCTCCACTTTCCCTGATACTGATGATCCTCCGCCACCATATGAGGCTCTTTGGGATTCAGATGATAGACCAATGCGACAGAGTATTTTGCCTCCGTCTGAACTACCATGTCCTACTGCGCCCTTGCCTGACCTTTCTTTGACCGAAGATGGCCGTGTGAACATGCGAGTTGGATTGCGGTTCAGTCGCAATCTTGAATGGCTGATGGATACCCAACCTACCCAAGTTGAGGTGTCCCAAACGGCAGAAGCGACTTTCCCTACACCAGTGTCTAATTTCAATCTTCGCCTGAACATTGTCATCCAAGTAGTAGGCAGCCACGGTGACGTACAGCCTTTCGTTGCCTTGGGTGAGGAGTTGCAAAGACATGGACACCGTGTGCGGTTGGCAACACACGCCAAATTTGAATCATTCGTCAAATCAGCTGGGCTCGGGTTTTACCCCATCGGAGGAGACCCTGTTGAATTAATGTCTTACATGATGCGCAATCCGGGGCTAATTCCGAGCATGAAGAGCCTGCTGGCGGGCGATGTTCAACAGAAGCGAGCTTCTATCGCCGAGATCCTAGGTTCCTGGCGGTCTTGCATAGATCCAGACCCACACGATAAAAGGCCCTTTGTTGCAGATGCCATTATTGCAAACCCGCCAAGCTTTGCCCATGTACACTGTGGACAAGCACTCTGGGTCCCTGTTCATCTCATATTTACAATGCCCTGGACTCCCACTAGGGTTTTTCACCATCCTCTTGCCAACTTGGACTATTCTGAGAACGACCCCTCGTTGGGAAATTATATATCCTACCATTTTGTCGAATGGATTACATGGAATGGGTAACTACTCCTTACGCAAATTACCTTGGGATATCGCTAACACATTCCAGTTTGGGAGATCTGATAAACACATGGCGGAAGGATACCCTAAAGCTAGACACCATTCCAACTACGGAGGGCCCGAATCTGTATGAAACATTAAAAATTCCTTTTACATATTGTTGGTCGCCCGCGTTGACTCCAAAGCCGGAGGACTGGGGACCACATATAGGTGAGTTGACTTTGCATGCAATGGGAAAATATATGCAAACTGACAATTGCAGATGTTGCTGGCTTCTTCTTCTTCCGTGAGCCAGTGGCTTATGATCCACCACCAGAGCTAGATGACTTTCTGCGTGCAGGTCAACCCCCTGTCTACATCGGATTTGGCAGCATTGTTCTTGAGGACGTGGAGAAAACCGTTTCGGTCATTCTAGAGGCCATCCAAATGACAGGGGTGCGTGCTATAATCGCTGGTGGCTGGAGTGCACTGCATGGCCGAGATACTTCTAGTGTCTATTATATTCAGGATTGTCCACATGAGTGGCTATTCAAACGTGTCGCAGCCGTCGTACATCACGGTGGAGCGGGCACCACTGCATGTGGTCTACGCAATGGGAGACCCACCACAATTATTCCATTCTTTGGGGAGTAAGTATAGCCAACTCTCATAATTCCATCTAATACTGATCAATCGAGCGTTTTAGTCAACCTTTTTGGGGTAAAATGGTTGCCACTGCGGGGGCTGGGCTGGACCCAATCCCTTATAAGAGCCTTACGGCACAGAAATTAGCAAACGCTATTTCCTATTCCTTTACCCCACGAGCCATTGCGGAAGCTCAATCTATTGCGGAGAAAATCAAGCAAGAACCGGGGGTACGTGCAGCGGTAGATTCGTTCCATGCACATTTGCCACAAACACAAATACAATGTGACATGATCCCCGGAGAAGCTGCGGTTTGGAAGCTTAAGAAGGGAAAACGGATTCTCAAGCTGTCGAACACGGCTGCACTGGTTTTGAAACGTCAAGGGCGGTTCCAAGAAAAGCATCTCAAAAGGTGAGTAAAGCTGAAGAGCTGGCGACTAATCATGAGACTCCTGGCCATGACTAACCTACTCGCGAGCACAAACAGATACCAAAGCAAGCCATTCAGTATAGACCCCCAACGTTGGGACCCACTTACAGCTGTTTCCTCCGCGTCGCTGTCAACTTTGACTGGCATGGCCGATGCCACAGCTGGAATCTTCATCGATCCTTACCAGGAATGCAAACGTCTCCGATCAAACCGCCATACTCGTCTTGCCATTCCTGTCGCTGCCTCTACGCTTCTCCCCACCGGGTTGCTTTCAACAACTGAAATCCAAGCCTTCGTACAGGCCGTGACTAAAGGTTGACCACCCCACCACTGCGCCTCGAATCACGCCTCGAATGATCAGAACTACGCCAGGCAAATGGCATTAGCTTCAGCTATCAGCCTTGGAAAATTTTTAGGACGTTCCTCACGTGGCATGTTTGTAGACCTACCCCTTGCAGCAACAGAAGGAATTCTGGCTATTCCTCGATTGTACGGTGCTCTAACCCGAGTCCATGACCCCGTACGAGGCTGGAAGAGCGGCGCAGTGGTGGGGTGGTCAACCTTTAGTCACGGCCTGTACGAAGGCTTCACAGATATCTTTGTGTACACATACGCTGGCAAGAAAAACGAGGGTTCCGTTGGCGTAGCCAAGGGATTGATGAAAGGATTGACCAGCTTAACGGTCAAAACTGGCGCGGCCACTATCGGCCTCATTGCTTATCCCAATCAAGGCATATATCGCTCCATTCGGGCTAGGAGACGGAAAGAAATTGCTAGGCGGATTATGGATGCAAGATAGGCTGAGGCGGAGTGTACTGTGAATGGAAGATGTGCACACATAGATGTAGCCGGGTTGTGCTCTTTGTATGACGGGTTCTTGGTATCCCGAGAAAAAAGGCACAAAATGCGCTAAAATTCCAACTAAATTCGCGCATAATGCATCTTGTGTCATACTTTTTTTTCTCTCTCTCCTTTTTCTCCCTTTTGTTTTGCAACTTTACTAGACTAATTGTCGCTCTATGTTGTAGTGTGTGGGAAAGCGTAAACGGATAATAATACCTTCACGTCTCCCCAGTGTTGACATTTATCTTACTGGCAATTTCAATCATTTCTTTCCTAGTCATGTTCTCTCGACATTATGATTAAAAATCACTCATGGGCTTTACTAGTACTTTCGACGCTTGTGGGTACTGGCTACCGATGATTGGCTGCATTCCTAGCATCGGTTCTCCGTATACGGAGCTAGGAGCAAGCAAGTACAGTGACTGTTCATAAGTTTTAACACCCCAGCCCCACATCACTTTGATTATGTAATATTCTGCCAGTCAAAATATTTTCATCAATACTGTTGTACATCACAATCTCTGGCTTTTGATAATAGTCTACACTAGGCTAGGCATCGTCTTGAGGCAAACAAGTTAAAATATCCAGACATGCGATATGAACTCGAGAGATATAAGGTCCGCCAGTTTATTTATGTAGGCGGTATAGGCGGTAAGGGAAGGCGGTATGTTGGTGGGGCCAAAGGGGGTGTTAAAACTCATGAACAGTCACTGTAAGCAAGTAGGTAATACCAAAAGGTGCTAATAATAGTCTTCCCAAAAGTGATCTCTCGAGGTCTACTCCGTACTCCGTACAATAACGGTTACCTAATTTCACATAATGGAGCTAGAAGTAACGAACCACAACGAATTTTTACCTTGCTAACTAGAATACTCCGTATGTCAATTTGATATTAATTCTTAGTGGGGTTGTGCGTTAAGATCAGCCGTTGTTTGACAGGTAGTACTCCGTAGATAGTTCTTCTACGATACAACACTCTCCCCCTCTCTCTGCTTCTAGCCTAGTAAGCTCGACATTTTCTCAATAACTACCCTATCCTTATATTTGTTCAATTGACTCTAGATGTTTAACTAGAATGAAGATAAACGTTTTTTTGTGGCTGTCAAGAATTATATACGATTAAGATGCTATATTGTTATTTTAAGAATATATACACTTCAAGCGCTTGTGGACTGGCTTTATAAGAGAAATGTGTGATTGAGGACTTGAAGGGCTGCAGTGGCAGGGCTTTTGTTTGAATATGGAACATAGTGGTAATGTAGATATTTCCTCTTACAAGACTCCTTGTTTTCTGTATTATATTAGAATCATGAAATGCTTCCGGTTTAAAATTTTTCACTGAAGCACTCACTTAATTAGGAACTGTCGGATGCATAATATTGTAGCCTTTCGTTTTTTTTTAGCGCTGTGTGTGGGCCTGGACTGGAAAAATCAAACCAGGTACCTATCCATAGTCCTCAGGGTATTCATTGGTTCGATCTAATCTAGCAGCCTTCCCAAGACCCAGTGTATAAGCGTTAGTCCGTAGTCGTACTCGTATTTTTGTACTCCTGTTACAGTGGGGCTATGGGGCAATAGACAACACTTACTATGTTATAGACATTCACTATTCGCTGTTCACCTTCTTCTGCCTGAAATTCTGCGCAATTGCAAGCTAGTGTTAAATCATACGTTATATGACTTGGTTAAAAAGAAAGAAAAAAGACCAAAAGACCAAAAAGACGCCAAAAGACGCCAAAAAAAACACCATGACAAACTCTTGCCTAGTTTATGAAACCGATCTCGGTCAATCTGACACCTTCGGGTGTGGATAGCTTGGTCTAGCTAGGTGAATTGGGGAACGGTCTACTACCAAATTGACTTAGACCCTTAATTACATGGCTGCCTTATGCTGATGGTTCAGCAAAAAACTACTGAAAAGGAGATTCCTTATATTGAAGAACGGCCTTGCGATACACTCGAAATTCCATAAAGCAATATTTTCATCTTCCAAAAGTGCAACAGGGTCTCATTGCTCAAATTGCTTGATGAGCTTCAATATTTTCTTCCGTCGCTTTTCCAAAATACAATACTGAGATGATCTATTCAGTCGACATGGCTTCCATTCATGAAATCCCTGCCTTCGTGGTTGGATTCCTCCAATCATTCTTGGGCGCTCCTATTTTACCTTCTCTGTTATCTTTATTCTATCTCTTCTGCACAGGATCCTTGTTCTTCGATGTGGTACATTATATATTGCATCGAACCAATAGATCATCACATCCCCTTCTCCGATATCTCGCACGTATTCACCATTTCCACCATCTTTACTTTACTCGGCATATGAACTTCGACAATAAATATCTCTGGCAAAATCTGGCTCAAGCGCTGCCGCTTGAGTTGGGACTTCAACTCTTTGGAACAGCACTTGGATATGTCTTCGCCATTTTGGTGACTCCTATCGACCTTGTGTGGATAACGCGAAGTCATCTCTGGTCAGTGATTGGCATTCAAATACTCAGAACATCCATTGTTATGCTCGCGAGTGGCCGCGACTCGAATCACCTGGTATACAAAACCGCCCCAAAGGATCCTAACTGGATATTTGCTGGCCCGGAGTTCCACGCCCTCCATCATGTTTACCCCGATCGCTACATGGGTTCATTTATCAAACTATTTGACTGGGTATGGGGTACTGCTTACTCTTTTCGAGGGAAACGATTTGTGATCACGGGCGGAAGCGGAGCTTTTGGTCAAACTATTGTTGCAGAGCTTCAGCAAGAAGGAGTACAGAGCATTCGCAGCTTGAAGTTCGGCGTTGATTGGGATCATCAGCACTTTGAAAAGGCTATCGAAGCGCTTTCTGCATGTGACGTCCTCATCCTAGCCCACGGTACCAAAGGCCAAGACGCAGTGGAATCGAGTTGCAATTCAGCAGTCCAACTGGTGCAATTATTCAAACAGAATAGATCCTCCAACAAAACCAGTCCAACGCTCCCGGAAGTGTGGTACGTTGGCAGTGAAATCGAATTCCATCCAGCCTTTGGAAATACAGAGCTACAGCGTTACTCCGAATCAAAACGGCGCTTTCTCCCACATGCTCGTTCTTTCTTTGACGATCCTGATATAATTTACCGTCATATTGTCACACCGGCTTTTCAATCACCAATGGGGCCAGCTATACTATCAGCAGGCTGGGCAGCGAGGTGTACAATGTGCTGGATCCGGAGAGGTGCCCGATACATCCCTGTTACATATACGGGATTTGCATATTTGAACTACTTCAAATTTATGTGTTGGGTTCCCTACGCTCAGGATACAGACAAACTGTGAATAAGCAATGGGATCGCACAAAATGTCTTTATTTTTTATTGTAAATATTGCTATTAGATATTTGAAATGTTCAAGTTTCAGTAGAAGTCCAGACTATATCATGCATCAGTACTTTTCTTTTTATTAAATCATTCACAATTCGGAGAAATAAGTAACGAACGATGTAGGCTTAGGCAAGGAGCTTCACCGGGTCTATTAGGGCTGCAGTATCGGATTGAATCTTGCTTTGTTGAATATGGTGTACGGACTAGCGACAGGAGTATTCAAATTCTAGTGGCAAATATTATGCTGAGAGATCTGCGAGAATAGTGTAGCCATGCTCTGCCATCACAGCCAATGTTTCTTCTTGCTTAATATATATATTTAAGTATTAAGCGAAAAACAAATTAAAGATCCCGCCAACTATCAAGTGAATAAAATGAACAGCGCGGAATATAGATATGAGAACAAAATGCAGTACAGTTAAGACCCTGAAGATTGCCATAAAATGTATACACATCCAGCCGTGGCGGAGTGTACCGGTAGAATCCCACCCAGGGATCTGATTTATTGACCTCATGAAACACAATATCTATCATTTCCGAGTTCTTCTGCACAGAATGGATTATGTGGAAAATAATCTTTATGATCAACAGGTGAACGACCCGATCGGGAGATAAAGTAACGAATACGCGCAGATAGATCAAAGCAGAATCCACTGTATTCAATTTCTCGACGTTCCTGCGCCCCCGGTTGCGTTTGATATTCAAATTATAGGGTACTGAAGGTTTTCGGATCCTGGGTTGAACCGGGTCCCATTCGTTATAATGATATCAATTTAGAAAAGACACGCTATTGTTAGATTTATATAGAGCATAATTTATCGACATCTTCAAGCTCCACCATTGATTCAGCTGTAAATCTACTCCCAATGTAGCAAGTAGTCCAAAGGAAAGCATATGCAGAAGCGGTGCCTCGTTTCACGTCCAAATGGATCCCTGCACTGCTCGTAGACACCTTGATTCTTAATACTCCTTAAGAATTATCCACACGGGATATGGGATTTTTCGTATTAAATTGTGCGCGTGTTCGGAAAAGAAAAGTAACCTGGATTTTTGACGTATGTCAAGTGAGTTCTTTGGGCTACTGTACTAAGTTTCTGACGCCGGTCAGAATATATGGTTATTTAGCTAGTGTTGGCTTTTTGACGGCCGTCAGAATATATGGTTGCTTTTTGACAGCTGTCAGAAATTGGAGTGATTGTAGAATCCTATGATTAAACTATCTAGTATACTCGTATAGATCTTCTGTTGGTCCTAATTCAGGCACGCAGCAGGCCACAATCAGGCACTCAGGCATAAACCTCGAGTTTCGAACCATAGAACATTCCAAGGATCTAAGGATCCAAGTTTCGTGGCCCATTTCCTAAATAGGGCTTAGTAGCAACCTTGGAAGTACCCAGATGAATGACTTCCATTGTTCTCAGGTGCCCAGGTGTGTACCTATTTCCTAAATAGGATTAGTAGCGAATGACTTCTATTGTTCCATTGTTCTATTATTCTTATCAATGGGTTCAACCTTGGAACCTACTTACCTATTACATGTACATGTACCTAGGTACATGCATAGGAAGGTTATATTCCCAATCTTTTATCACTTTCCTCTTTCCCCTTCGACATACCTTCTGTATACTTTCCTTCATCTCACTCTATCAATGGATCCAAGGCCGTCGTACTTGCTCCATATCTCACATTCCTCTTCAAAACATCTTCTGCGCACCTTCCTTCGCCTCACTCTCAGCCCAAGATGTCTGAATACGACTTCTCACTCTGTGCGCACAACTGGTCTCTTGCAAGATATCTTGGTTTCCCCGTACCATCGCCCACTTCCGTGTCGCCTCCTCGATTTGATGAGGAGATGTCTGATTCTGGCCCGACCTCAACACCTCCAGCCAAAAGATCTGTCCGAACCCCGGCATCCAGCCCAACGTCCCGGCGTAAACGTCAGAAGCTATCCCGGGCAGAAAATACTCCAACCTCCACAACTGCTAATTACAAGTCGCCTGATTATATCCGTGAATTGATAGCGAGAGGTGTACGAAAATCCAATGAAAAGCCAACAGAATACAAAATGATGGTAGGACAACTCGAAAGCCGTCCAGCGAATTGGCAGGATCTTCCCAGCAGAACCCTGGATTCCTTTAACGAGATCATTGGGACTATCGGAAATGAGGGCAGTATTCATGGGGGCATCATCCCCCTCTTGATGGACAACATTGGGTTGACATTAAACCCAGAAACACTGGCTGTAATGGACATACCATTTACCAAACAGTGTCAGCTCCCTATCCAAGTTCCACTCCACGAAAACTCCAAGAGCATCCCAGCTCCGTACCCTGACATCTCTGTTGGTCTCCGTCGAAGCCAGTTCATGCGTTATGAACCTGCCCTTCACCACCTCAACCACATTGCTTCACCTATTCCAAAGATTCCCGAGCTTGTATTCCCTTGCTTTGCTATTGAGGCGAAAGGTGACAGTGGAGGCATGGACGCAGAAACCCAGAACCGGCACAACACAGCGAATATGCTATTCAACCTCAGACAGCTTTCGGTTCTCGCAAACGGCGAAGAAGCTACGCACCTCTCATTTGACGGAGTTATCAAAGCCTGTTCGGCCACGATAACTCAACAGGCAATCACCATCTTTTGTCACTGGGTTGGGCAGGACGAGGAAACACATAAGCTGGTATTCTACTCGTGTTCGGTGAAATCTGTCGCTTTTGGTGCAACATCACATCAGGATTGGAATCGCGCCTCGATGTACTTGCAGAATGCCATTTCCTTCACGGTCCAGAAGACAATGAGCCAAGTCAAGGAGGACTTGCCAAGATGGAACAAGGAAATATTCCGACAAATTCGGTTGAAAGAAGAGAATCAAGACCAGGATGCAATACCTACCACAACTCCTTCAAGCCCCAAATGCAGCCATCAGGAAAACAAGGAATAAAGGTTCATGTCTTAGCAATACATGCTGCAGCTTTTTGTCCCTGCTCCCTAGCCGTGTCGTGTCTTTCGTTATATCCTGGTCTGTTGTATCTCGTTACGTCGCGTGCTTGTCCATTGTTTTCTGTTCAGTCGTGTGTTGCTTGTTGAAAGTTTCAACTGAGGCGTTGCAGAAATACAGAGTTATGAACGCCAGTCCTATAAGTAGCGCCTGTAACCATTTGTTGGACTCGAGTACGTACTGAGCTACAAGTTCGAGCAATCTCCACTACTATGCTCTCATTCACTCTTCGGGCGATCTTTGCACATCTACTCTTTGCAGTTGCAGCTTCTGCTAGTTGCAAATCCTCTCCCAATAATTCGAGCTGGCCTTCTGCAAACGAATGGCGGGCACTCAACCAGTCCATACAGGGGACCCTCATAAGAACTGCCTCTGCAGCCTCATCATGCTACCCTAGAAATCCATTTGGTTCCCCCGATAACTGTACTGTTGTGAAGAACCATTGGACCTATGTCTCATACCATTCCGCCTGGCCTGAGAGTGTCGACTACCCAATATATACCAACAACTCTTGTCTACCCCAGGGGGCGACTGGATACACCAAGGATAAAGGGTGCGAAATTGGTGGCTTGCCGCAGTATACCGTGAATGCCACGACGGAGATGCAGATTGCTACTGCGCTGAAGTGGGCTTCTAGCAGGAACATTTGTGTAGTTGTCAAGGGGACAGGGCATGATCTCAATGGCCGGTATGTCACCTACTCCAAGCTGATAACGACCTGACCGCACTAATCACATATCAGGTCAACGGGAGCATTTTCACTATCCATTTGGACGCATAATTTTAAACACACTGTGCACCACTGAGATTGGAATGTTCCTGGTCAGAATGATACCGCAGACGTGCTGGTATGTGGCAGTGGAAATAAGTGGGGATCTGCCAACTTCGCTGCACATACCGTGCACAGGGCTATCGTAGGCGGCGAAGACTCTACAGTTAGTTTGGGTGGTTTGATACAAAACGGTGGCCATGGGTGGCTGTCAAGCCATTATGGTCTTGCGTCGGACCAGGTATATCAGGTCACTGTCATCACCACTGATGGTAGGCACCTTGTTGCCAATGCAGCGCAGAACGAGGATCTTTTCTGGGCTGTTCGCGGCGGTGGAGGAGGACAGTTTGGCGTGGTGACCGAGTTCGTTCTGAAAACTTACCCAGTACCTGAGAACATGGTCACGGGAGGGTTTCCTTTCCATGCAGCTTCCCAGTCCAACACCAGCGAAAGTGCTTCTTGGAGTGCTATGGCCCACCTTGCTTCTCTCATTCCCAATATCATGGATACTGGTCTCACAGGCAGCGTGTCCGCATTTACGGGTGAACAGGCCGTGGCGCTGATTGGTCTAGATCAATCCGCTCCAGGGGTCGCTGCGTCTGTGAGTCTGACTGGGTTTAACATGACTACTCGTGGAATAAACGCTACTATCAACAATCTAGTTGCTCAGATAGCCAACAGCACGCAAGGGAGCTATTTGAACTTTGCTTTGACAGCACCAAAATCTAAGGGTTACTACGCCCACACTGGCTCTAGCACCGGTGCTGGGGCTGTCAGCTTGCTCACCAGTCGCCTCTTAGGCCGACAGGAACTCTCCGACATTGCCAAAGACGACCTAATCCAATACCTTCAACAAATTCTCGTTTCTCAGGGCTCCACTGGATCGATGCTACTCTTCGGTCTACAATCAGGGCTTAGGCCCGCTAACGTCCCAGAAGAAATGCGTGGAAGTGTGCTTCCAGCCTGGCGTCAAGCCTATGCACATGTCAAGACTTATGGGGCATTGATAAACGCCACTGGTGATCCAAGCGAGTCCCTCAAATCAGGAGCTGAATACTACGAGACAGTCAAAGAGCCTGTATGGAGGAAATGGGCTCCAAATACAGGTGCCTACATGAATGAGGGGAACCCATTTAGCACTACGTGGAAGCAGGATTTCTATGGTGAGAACTACGATAAGCTTCTTGAAATCAAACGTAAGTATGACCCCAGTGAAAGTTTGTTTATCTGGAGTGGTCTTGGTAGTGATATGTGGAACTACGACCTGAGAAGCGGATTGCTGTGTCGGACATCCTAAATTCCAGCATGTCACTTCACCGAGGGGTTTTGAGACTTGGGAGAAGCGTAATATCTATTCTGTTACGCTCAATACTAGCTGGTGCTCTATTTTCACAAGTCATCTATCCCCTTGTCTTTCTCCCTTTGTCCTGCGTGTACTTTTCTTCTTGTTTGCAGCTCCTTGTCTACTATCCTAGCTGTGCATTATATTTGGTATAATGATTAGGATCAGAAGATTTAACATTCTAGCAACTATCCGCAAGGATTTCAGAGTTTTCCGTATCCTCCTCCTCGAGATCTTCAAAGAGTGGCATAAACTTCTCGTTCTTAGCCTCGGTTTGTCCAGGAACAGCATTGCCCTCCTGAACTTCACAATCTCTAAGCACCGAGTCATTGCCAATATAACTATAACTCCCAACTACACATCCAGTTAACACACATCGTTCTCCAATAACAACGTTATTAAGAATGACACATCGCGTGATTCGAGCACCGCTGCAGATCTTGGAGTTTGGGCCAATACAAGATTCTTTTATAACAGAATTTCTCTCGACAACCACATTGGATCCAAGAAGACAGTCGGTCTTTGAAATAAAACAATTTAGACCCACACATTCAGGAGAGGCAATCTTTTGGTCCTGGGCAAATGGGGAGCGATTAGCTGTATGATCAACCTCTTCACTGGATTCTAGTTTGGCAAGACGAAGGGAGGTAGATAAGAGAAGAGCGGGATTATCAACACGACAGACAAGGGGCGTAGACCCTGTATGCAGATAGGCTAGAAGAGGCGGTACTTCCGGGATGTCGTTCCGTGGTGGTTGGTGGGTGATAGTGCTCAATTCCCGGTAGTCGTTCTCTTCATAGCTTTCTTTCTGCTGGCTCAAACAAGCACCCATTCCTAGCTTTTCATGTAGTCCCCGCTGCCATGTAGACTTAGCCCAAAGCCCAATAAGATCTTCGCTGATAGACACCAGTCTTTCCTGACGCCGTGCGAGATCCTTGACCCAGTAGGGGAAAATGTAGAGGTGTGCATCGCGGTACCCAGTCAGCATCTTGGCCTGTGTGGCTTGTCGCTTCGCAAATGAACGACGAAGAAGAAAACCTTTATCGCGGTCAAGATTACTTTTCACGGTATCCATCCCGATTGACATGAGCAGCTTCGATAGCTTGTGACTTGATCTTGCTGAATTCTTGATATGCCGGAGTGGTTCAACGGCTATCAGATCCAAGGCCTCATCCTTTGCAGCATTCTGCGCATGGTAATACACACAAAGCGCGCCTCGAAGATATCTTTTTTCCTCGGCCATTGGGATCTGTCCTTGAGACGCCATCCACATCTGTAGTAGGTATGCGCCCTCGATTTCACAGACGAGATCGCAAGGCAGGAGGAAAAAATCGGATTCAATGCAAGACTGCACCTCGGGAAGGCGAAGCAACTGTGCTGTTGCCATTGTTGCTTGAAGTTCTTGAGGAGCGAGGACTTTTGGCATAGGAAGTGATTTTAAATCAGGGTTTTGCTGCAAAGCAGATTCGATACAGGCAAGGGCAGAGGGATGTGTGATCAGTGTGACATCTGAAACAATTAGCCAATACTCATAATGATGAAACGCGATTGGAGGCTCGAATGGTCTCTCACTCACCACTGATATTCGACATCTTACAGAACTTCAGCGGGTAGTATATCATCGGTCTGTTAGCGATTAGGGCAAGGCATTTTGGAGTCTTCTCTTGATCAAGAAGGGTCCCAAATGAGGTCCCAGGACCGCATAAGATCAGAGCTTGGAGCCCAGCTCTAGGCAGATGAACCCCCATCGTGTTGTTGATGAACTATAGCGCGATTTCTTGACGCGCGTTAAGAAGGCAGAAGGCTGCTGAAAAGAAAATCAATTAAATGACAGTTAAATTTCCAAATAAAACCCATAAGCCCTGATCTTTATACTGACGGGGGGCTCTACTAAATATATACGATGAAAGCCTCGATATGCATCTACTTCTTTGTTGCTGGAGGTGGATCGTGAAAGACAGGTGGATCAAAGAAGCGGTAGGGCCCACCCCCATCAAAATTACCTAATCACCGATATGCCGAGGTCCGCGCGGAGAACCTTGGAACATTCTTGTTATATTAAGCTTGGAAGGATAAACAAATCTATTGTAGAACTACGCTTGAACCAAACTCGATCATCGCATCGGAAAGGGAAAAAAATATGGCCACCCCAGAGTCCCAAGCCAAGAGGCAACGCAAGCGCAGCGACTATGGCTTCCACCAAGTACACCAGACCCGATGGTCAGTACCAGGACCTCTGAACGGGGGCCCGAAAACCAACCAGACACCGACACTAACAAACCACACCCACAGGTTCGATAACGATATGTACGCGCACCTCAATAACGCAGTTTACACACACCTCTTCGACACAATCGCGAACACGTACCTAATCCAACACTGCGGAATGGACCCCTTCAGTGTGAACAACCCAACTCCAGCGTCAACTCACGGCCAACCCTCCAACTTCCCCTCCCCATCAAACCTAGCAGCTGGCGCAGACCAAATAGGTCTGATTGTTTCGACGCACGCTGATTTCTTTGCCTCGGTGCGCTTCCCGGATCTGCTGGAGGTTGGGCTGCGCGTTAATAGACTCAGCAAGTCTAGCGTTACCTGGGAAGTGGGTATTTTCCGTAAGGGTGAGGAGGATGTTAAGATGGTTGGGACTTATACTCATGTTTTTGTGTTGAGGGAGACTATGCGGGTTGGGAAGACGGGGATGGAGGAACGGACTAGGCAGGGCTTGGAGAAGTTGCTTGTTAGGGCTGAGGCGAAATTGTGAGGGATAGAATGAGAATGCTGGGCGCTAGGCTAGGCTTGTACATAGTTTTCTTATCGGAATATAGGCAGCCCCTTGCATTCCAAGGCAGTCGGATAATTTTCGGGTTACAATTGGGATCTAGACTTGAGATTGATCAGATGATCCGTATAGGAATTCGAGAGAAAATAAGCGATATATCGCTCGGCAAAACGCTTGATCGATTGGTATGGTATTAATCATCCGAGGAATGTGAGACGCCGATGGTGAAGAAAAGACAAAAACGTGCGCCCTGTAGATCAAGTAGATCGTCCAAACCCCTGAATCATTAAAAGTCTAATCTAACCTGAGATCTATGAGACAAAAAGAAGACCTGAAAACATATCCATCGCCATGAGACAAAAAAAAACGAACCGAAAACTTTTGTGGGTTGTCATAAAAAATAAAAGAGACACGCTAAATCGCTTCACAATATCGAAAAAGCGCCAATAGAATACGTGGGTATACATGTATGATGGAATTTCCAATCATAATTAGAAGGATTGTCATCCAACAATCCCAGGTGTGGTTTGAGACAAGCTCACTCAAATTTGCCAGCAATGATACTGCTGCAACGGGACACGTTGGCACTGGTGGGAGGTGAGGCACCGCGGCGCATGGTGTATCCATCTTCGTCGAGCCACCACTTGGGGTAAGGGCCAAGAATGAAGCTGCCCTGGGCGTCCCAGCCAGCGACCCAGTGAATGCCATCGTCCAGGAGGAAAAAGCGCAGCTTTTCCGGACGGCCGCCCTTGTGCAGCGGGGCATCGAACCAGCGACAGCGTTCCTCCAGTTCGGATTCAAACATGTAACGATGGAGGATGCGGCAGTAGACTAGCGCAGCAGGAACTTTTTCATCGGTCTCGCACCCATCCCGATGGATGAGGTGCCATCCGCGACCAGGGAGGAACTTGTATGTTCCCGGGACGGGGGATTGCCAGTGTTGTTCCTTAAGGTCGCTGTCGCGATCGCCTTTTTGGAACCAGTAGGTAGGGCAGAAGATAGCTCGCGCACAGAGGAAGAGATTGGGGGCCATGATTGAGGGTGGTATCAAGATCGAAAAGGGTATGTGCAAGGATGACTTGTCCTCGAAGATCGGGGGGAAAGTCCAAGTTGATATAGAAACAGCACTGGTGTACAAAAAAATCTCAAGGGCTAGAACGGGCTATAAGTCGACAGCCATGGTGAAAAATAATAAAATATCGATCAGTCAAAATCCAAGCTGAGATGGGAATTTGACGGGTCTCCCGTATGTTGTATTCACAAAAGCTCGGTGAAGGACCCCTGAGAACCTTTCGGGAGACAAAGAATGTGGAACGGCAAGCACACTTGGCACGGGGTTGTAATCTGAGGCAAGGACTGGTTGAGAATGTCCAATTCAAATAGCACTGGCCAGACAGCAAGGTATTTTCGTTATCGATGCGGTGAGTAGGGGTTGGCGTGTTTTAAGTCGGGGAAAAGGGGTCGCGATAAGCTTGCAGGTTTGAACCTTTGAAGGAACAGCTTTGTCCTTGATAGCGGGAAAACAGGATGGTGGGTGGGAAGCGAATAGGGATGGTTGAAAAGAGCTTTGACTTGCAGCAATCGGCAACACGCAGTAGCAGGCACACGCACGGCTGGCCGGTGTTAGAGCTCAACAAGAGCGTGTGCTATAGATAGGGCATTTAACTGGAGGAATGTCGCCATGGTGATTTGTAGATATATATGAAGAAAAGAAATCAAGAATGTGTGTTTGGATATATTTGGCGGTCAGATGGTGGAACAAGAAAAAGTCAATCGACCCGCTCTTTTGCCCTTGGCGGCCCCAATTGGTTAAGCCACAACTGCGTAGCTCTAGAACCTCGGGACTTTCCCGCACTTGCCCGCCGCCTTGGAGTGGCTGAAATGGCTGAAAATGTGGATTATCTAACCGCTGACCTGAGAGATTTTCACGTGCGGGACCTACCGAGACTTGGCACTCTCATCCTTTGGCTCGCGGCTTTTTCTCTTCTCTCCTTATTATCCCGTTTAGGGCTGATCTCTTTCCTTGTCTGCGTCATAGCTCCCCCCAATTGATGTCCACCGGTTTCACACGAACGTTTTCTGACTCAATAATAAAGCCTCGAGCTCTTGGCATACATTCCCCGGCGGGAAATTTCCAGGCTGCAAAATTCTTTGTGGCGCAGTTGTCCTTGTGGTTCAGCCCTATGCTATTTCTGCTCGGGCTTGTCCTAACTTGCAAGACTTGCCAAGTTATATTCTACTAGTTTCTCATTCCTCAGTGTTTACTTTTTGCACGGCCTTCGATTGCCTGTGATGTATCAGTCTCGCTATGGCCAGCATAACTGATATATGGTGTGATGACTGCATGCCGCATGTTTACAAGTTCATCACTATCTAGGCTTAAAATATCCCTGTCCATGCGTAATCACAATCCCGACTGACGTGTCAACAAACCAAAAATCATTGCTGTGCCACCTGGTCCAGAGCCTCGTAGCTATAGGCGATCGTAACTATAGGCGATCGTCAAGCAAATCCTTGCCAAATTTGCAATATGACATGACGCATGGCGTTTACGATAATGGAAATATTTCTGAAGGGAAATAAATATATCTCTAATGTTAACCCCTTGATGCAAGATAATGCAACACCAATTTTTTTGATATCCGAACCCTGATCCTTTTTGGTTTTTAGTGCTTGAGCCCCTTTCGAGGCATCGGCCTTCTTTCAAACTGCCCAGCCCTGGAGGCCAGATGATTTTATCTCATTCACTTATATGGCTACCGCCAGGTCTTCCCCCTTTGCTACATGGGTCAAGCTTATTCGGAGCTCATTAAATTGAGTACCTAGTCAAGTCCAAAAATTTTAGACCACTACCATACTAGGGTATTAAGGGATTCCCAGCCGACAGAAATCACTAGGACTTATTTAAAGAGAAACAACCGGTCTTCTAACTTTCTTAGTATCGCTTTCACAGCCAAACTCTACGTGCCAGATTTCAACAAGCTGACGTGAGAAAAGAGGGCGCCGAATGCCCCCGAATCCTACGGGATTACTCTTGAAATCATTTAAATTACTCCGTATTCACAATCTAATTAGAGCGCCAGTCACTCACGACCTAAACCCTATCCTAGTCCGAGTGAGGCCCAGTACGGTCTACGTCGTGTGAAAATACATCTGTGCACTGCCAGGGACATACCAATTCCCACTCTCTTTCCATGGGAGCCCTCGAGGACTCAGGGCGCCCCGACTCACCTTCCACAGGATTCTCCATGTCATCAGCCGAATAACAGCGATACCTCTTCTTCCCTTTGAGCGGCATTTCTCCGCCCATGCCATCAACCCCACCCACCACCCCCCACACCGGTGGCGCCACCAATCCATCCGGGCAGTTTGTCAAAATCCTCGACCTCGGCTGGGATATGTGTCAGCCGGAAAATCAGCCTGACACCGCCGCACCCACGCGCATCATGGCAAACGCGTCGAGGGTTCATCCATCGCGGCGTCCACGTGCTATACAGCGACACCCCCAGAATCCACACAAGGTATATACCTAGCAAGATGGATATGAGGACCGCGCCAGCGTGAGGTATATCCGGAATTTGTTGGTCACCGCCCATGTCCCAGTGGGGCGTTCCTCTGGTCTACGATCTCGCAATCGATCCCTGCATTGCATTCCCACGTCGATAGCTAGGAATGGCCCTGGCGCTGAAAGCATATTGTATGCGTTTACGGCTTGAAACCATATAAGGACTCGAGGCAAGGGTGGTGCTCACTAACGAAGTTCGATACGATGGTGAAGCGGAGAACGAGCGAGCTGGAGTTCCCTCCTCCAGCTAGAAGCTTGATGATGAGCACCGGGTCATTTCAGCCTTTGTCGGCCAGCGCCATACTCTGTCCTAACGTCGGGCTCCACTACTACTACTACTACTACTACCTCCCCCGCCACTGGCGGAATACGACGGCTGTTCATTAGCAGATCATTGAAGCTGATGGGGTGATCAACACCGTGGCCACCGACTGTCAGAGGTGAGCAGCCTGGAGACAGCGCTCGTTTTGGGCGTATGTGCTCATCATGCGGTGCAGGTAATTTGCCAAACTTTCCTCGGGTTGAAGATTGACAGTGTAGCTTCAAGCCCCGATGGGCCGATGGGCCAGTATAACCAAGACCGCCCGGGCAAAGAGCGCAATCACTGCGTAGGCCAGGGTCAAAAACACGATATGTGGCGCGCGCGCCGGAGGATGTCGGAGGGGATCCGATCTCTCTCAACCTTCTCTTCACGGTTTCTCCCGGTCGCTTATTAAGGAATGAGCAGAGGGAAAATCGTCTCTCGGGTCTGATCCTCCGGTCATAATTTGGTGTTGGCTCTTAAAAATCCCTTAGATGCGGAAGATCCATGGAGGAAGTGTTCTTTACATCGACGCATGCGGGTGAGACTGCGGGGTTGTATGGGCGAAGATCATCGTCTGTGCCTTGTTTGGGGCCATAAATATTCAAGTTATTATTATACTCGAACTAGTACTCCGTATGTAGACTCCACGTGGGCGACCGTAGCGCTTTGAACTATCACCCCTGAACCTGCATAACCCCACATTTGGCTCATCGTGGTAATTCCAGATCCCACGATTTATTCTCATTAAAATCTTCTGTATAGGCTTTGCTGGATTGCTTTCCAAAAATTAGACCAGCGTGGAGTCAATGGGGCGATGACCGTTTTCTACACATCAAGACGTATATATATCTCCCAGGGTCGTCTCTCAACCAAGATAAGAAAAAAAAGAATACAAGCCGATAGCTATTTCTGTCATTCCTGGCTTATTCCTAGCTTTATACTGATCTCAAATTGGGATAGTCGGCGGGAAGTGAATCTACTGGGGCTATGGGCCCTATGACTGTGCTATGAGTAAATCGCGGCAAAATGTTATTTTGCCGAACCACTGAAAGTATCAACCAGAATTTTTCCCCGAAGTCACAAATGAATATTAAACAAACCCAATGTTAAAAAAAAGGATTGGAAATTAAACTCATTCATTTCATCATGTCCCTAACCTTCGAATGTATTCCCCTCACAGTCGAAGGCGTTAGCCTGAACCTATCAACGACCCATAGCCTCACCTCCAGCCCACCAATTCTCTTCCTCCATGGCTTCGGTTCCAGCAAAGAAGATCTCGCCGATCTAACCATCCAACCATCCTTAAAACACCATGGCTTCATCGCCTACGACGCCCCCGGCTGCGGCCACTCAGCAAGCAAGAACCTCTCCGCGACAGACATCCCGTTCCTTGTGGCGACCGCCGAAGCCTTGCTCGCGCGCTTCAAGATAGATAAATTCCACCTGATGGGCCATTCGATGGGCGGGTTAACAGCCCTCCTCCTCGCAAACCAGCATCCAGACCGCGTTCTCAGCTTCGTGAATATCAAAGGCAATCTTGCACCAGAGGATTGTTTCCTCAGTCGCCAGATCTTCATGTTCCCAGCCGATGACGATGAGGCATTCATGGATGCTTTTATTGAGCGCACGCGCACATCGGGCTCGTTTGCCAATGCTATGTATGCTAGCACCCTGCGCGCCCGGGTCCGGGCTGCTGCGGTTCGGCCTATTTTTGAGTCTATGGTGCAGTTGACTGATCATGGGGACTTGATGGACAAGTTTCTAGCATTGTCGTGTCCGCGCATGTTTATGTTCGGGGAGGAAATGCGTGGCTTGTCGTATCTACCATTGTTAGAGAGGGAGGGTGTTGAATTGGCTGATATTGTGGGCGCTGGGCATTTCCCCATGTATTCTAACCCCGTAGAGATGTATCGCCACATTTCGGGGTTTTTAGATCGGGTCGCATAGTGGGATTAATATTGTAAATAGAATTAGAGGTTAGAGGTAAATACAGAGATGAATGTGGGGCAGATACAGGGCATTTCACCCGACCATAATAAAAACCAAGGTTCCTGTTTAGGGTTTAGGGCCATATTTCTAGTTCGACAATAATGGACATCGACGCCAAGTGATGCGTGGGTATTAAGGTTGTTCCGGAAGACTTTATCCTCTTAGTAAAAAGCTTTTTTTTTTTTTTTCTTGGGTCTGGGTCTGAATATAATTTAGGAAAGAACAATTCAAAGTTGTCATTGGAAAGAATCAAATGTGTATCAGTCCGAATGCCACCTGGGTATTGGCGGATATTTACATAAAAAAATATTCTAAATTCGGTATCTTTGACTCGGCTTAACTCACCTCCGAGCGCGACACTTCCAAGGTTGAACGGTGGTGGCCGGCTCGTGCTGACACGGAGTACACGGTATTACTCCGTACAAAGTATGACAAACTCCATTCACTAAGCCATTGTGGCTTGATTCGCTGGAAGAGGAGATTGGTATGATTCAAGTGGACCGGCCCTGATACGGTACCCCGTGGATTGCCTCGTTCACAACCGCACATGACGATGCCGGCTCAACCGGAATCGATGAGTTCATCTGTAAGGGTTCAATCGGATGCTCCGTATTCCTGCAAATAAATCGCTCAAGGGAGAAAAAGGTACATTTAGCAAAAGTAATATTGACGGTCTCCGTTGGACCTCCGCACCGGAACTAACCACAAACAGTGCGGGGACATCACGATTGGACCTTTCATTTGTGCCATCACCAGTTCGGGTTCTGAGACAAGCTTTTGCCGATGTTTAAGTGGATCATAGTGGATCTTTAGTGGATCCTCTGGTGGAACGAGGGCTGACCTTAGTGGCCAGTCGCAGAGGCTGCCCAATAACGAAGCTTTAGTTTCCGGTGGGAGATGCCTAGGTGGGGCCATGTTACATCTGGCGTGGAGTGAGTGGTTGGGGACTGATAACTTACCTTTTAGGTATTGGATGGACCATTGCTCGAGGTCCTGATAATGGTCCACACAATTTGCATGTCCAATCCTAGTATTTTCTTTTTTTTTTTTTTTTTTTNCCTGTTGATAACATGATTCCTCTGTTTTTTTCCTGTATATGAAGACAACAGTACCCTCCTTGATTCCTACTCTTTTTTCCTTCATCTCTTTTTTATAATTTGTGAACCTTGTCTGATTTTCATCATGGCAGACAATATCTCCGGCTCCAGCATAGGTGCCGAGGCCAATGCTTATCCGAATGAGGAAAAGATGGACACCAAGGAGCGTATCGTCTCTGCTTCCAACGACCCCCCTCCATATGTTGGTGCTAGTAGCTCGATGTATGTGGATACTAGCATCACCTTTGAGAACTATGTCCACTGGGCCAAGCGGTCGCGTGAGGTTGAGAAGCACATGCGGACCGACAATGTGGGATTTGAGTACTGGATTAGGAAGTGGTTTAATAAAAACTCCGATGATTCGGTGACAACACAAGGAGAGGCCCCGGGACAGCATTCTCCTGTCACTGACCCCAAAGCCAACTCTACCAGCAAAACGAACGGCCATAGCACAACCGACGATTGGGGCATCACTGAGGCAGAATGGGAACAGGCACAACGAGCCACGCGAACCGCAACCTGGGGTTCGATCTTCTATCTCATCACCACCGATATTCTTGGACCGACCAATGTTCCCTGGGCGATCAGTCAAATGGGCTTCGGACCAGGGGCTATACTTTACACTGTTTTCGGTGTCATGGCTTGTTACTCCGGCATGCAACTGTGGCAGATCTTCGTCGGTCTTGACTCCACTCGATTCCCGATGCGCAATTATGGCGATGTTGCTTTCCGTATTTACGGAAACTGGGCACGCATTTTCGTCAATGTCCTACAGAGCTTCCAGTTCTTTCTCAATGTGACCCTGCTCATTGTGAGCAATGGACAAGGACTGGCGCAGATGGCTACCGGTGCCAATGGCAAGGGGTTCCTTTGTTTTATCGCTGCTGAGGTTATCTTCATGGTCATCGGCTTTTTCCTCGGACAGATCCGTACCCTGCAACGCCTTTCCTACCTGGCCAACATTGCAGTCTGGCTGAATGTCATTGTTATCATCATGACCATGGCCGTGGTTTATGAGTACCCGCCTAACTATGAGGCCTCACTGACTAGCTACAATACTCCAAAGGGGCCTGTGAAGACAACCGGATACTGGCCCGAGAGTTCAACGCTTACCGACAAAGTCAATGCTATGATGAACGCTGTTTTCGCATACGGTGGCGCAACCATCTTCAATGAGCTCATGGCTGAGATGAGACGGCCATATGATTTCTGGAAGGGTTTTATCATTGCCGAGATATTCATCTACGTTTGCTACCTTGTCTCAGGCATGGTTGTGTACAGTGCACAGGGCCAATTTACGTTCAATCCTGCCTATCAAGGTAAGTCACATAACATCCAATGGGGGATCTTGAGATTGCTAACAATCCTGCAACAGGCATTCCAAGTTCTGCCTACAGGTTCCAGACTCTGGGCAATGCCATCTCATTTATTACCGGTATCATCGCAGCACTGCTGTATGGTAACATTGGTATCAAAGTCTTCTACTCTTCCGTGTGCCGCGATGTCTTCCACTTGCCCGAATTGAACAGCCGAACTGGAAAGTGGCTGTGGGTTGGGTTCGGTAAGTTACCATCTAGTTCTCCATTGCTCCATTTGTGAACGATCAGTAACAACCTCCCTAGTGCCTGCCTACTGGGCTCTCGCCTGGGTGATTGGCGCCGCAATCCCCCAAATCACCAACCTCACATCCTTCGTGGGAGCCGCCTGTATCCTGCAGTTTTCTTACACATTCCCACCACTGTTGCTGGTTGGGTTCAACGCCCAGAATGATGCGATACTCGTCGAAGAGGAGTTCAATCCCACAACTGGCCAGGTGCAGCGTGTGGACAATGGAATCAAGCGGTTCTTTAGAGGTTACAAGGTGAAGTTTTTCCGGAACACTTTCGATCTACTCTACTCGATTGCTGCATTGGGCGCTGCCGGTCTGGGAATTTGGGCTTCAGTCACTGCCATGAACTCGAGTTTCCAGGCGGGTAAACTGACCCCTTTCACTTGTGCGAACCCGGCTGGATAAATCGGGGTCCAGGGTTGGGTTATAGGTCTGGGGGCTTGGTTTGAACTTTGACAGGTTTCATAGATCAATGGGTGCCTCGGCGGATGTTTGTTCTTTGTTTCCTCTTTCCTCTTATATGTACTAAATGAAGATGTATAGATTTATGTTGCGACGCCTACAATGGTGGTTGTTGATGCCTTGTTTGCTAGACTTCCTATAATGTTTAGTTAGTTAGCTAGCTTCAGTTGTTTGTAAAGAATACAGGTTCCTTCTCTCTCAATTTAATATCTCACCTGGGCTGACAGTCAGCTCACCTTATAAGCGGCTATCACAACGAATAATGTTTACCGAGGACAAACGGAGTGTCCTACTTGGAGAAGGCAAGTCGATTACTCAATTAGGTGGGCCCTAAATCCCGGCGCTTTCGCCCTTGATAAATTTGAAGAGGTTCTCAAGAACAAAGGCAACTTACAAATCTGACACAATCATACAGAAGGAGACGCTGCAAAAAGCCGGAGGGTCCTTTGTAGGACGCAATTTAACCACACGTTATGATCTTCAGTCTCCTATTTACTTTTCAAGTATGAAGTATCTTTCCCACCTGCAATCCTTCTTTCTGGCAGTACACCGGTGAAACCTCATATGTTTACACGCAAGAAAATTAACATATTTCCCTAGCTCCCAGTAGCCGGTCGAAGTATCAAGCATATCTCCTCTATGCAGGTCAATTCCACAACTGGAATCGGAGGAAATTACGAAATGGGGTCAAACTATCAGACTACTATCAGACTCAGAGTATCAGACAAAGGTTACCCCTATCTTGCGAGACTGTCGCTGTAACTGACAGGGGGAAGATAATATATGGACTTGGACAAAAACGGCAATTTTCGTGTAACCTTTTCAGACCTCAACAGGGTTAGATGCCTATCTGTGTTGATTGGATTACGAGCTATACAATTCTATAATAATACAACCACCGTACACATAATACAAGATAGTGGGTTAGCCGCTTAGATCGCTTCAGGGATGCAAGGGTGCAGGGGCGAAAAGTCCCCGGGTCCGGCCCGGCAAATTGCATGCCATCACGTTGCACTATAACGTGCTCTAGATATGTGATGGCGATAATTCCGTGTCGTTAACCGAAGCAAACCGTGTCTTGCCGCAACATGATAATTTTATTTACAGCTTCATCCTCGGTCATCTTCTTGTCCCATGCATGTCGAACGTGTTATATTTGGTCGGGCAACAGACATGACCCGATTTGTTCTGTGCGGAATAGCTTGTTGCTTGGGGAGTGGAAGATACGTAGGCATATTCTTGATCAAGGTCTCTCCTAATTATTGCAAGTGGCAAAGAGGCGACAGGATTTCGTCTTAATATCGACCACGAGTGGCGTTGTCTCATTATGTAACACCTACTCCGTCAGGTAGACCTCGGGTAGAAGCTGTTGGGGAAATGCTACTCGGAATCAATAACTTTCCTAGCGTTGCCGGTGTTGCTTCATTGCGAATCCCACTCTCCGATTGCCGACTTCTGTCGGCTATGTTCTGTCACCTGTGCTCGTCCGAGTGTAATAGAGAGAATGGCTATTCTGGAAAGGGTTTCCGTTTCTATTTTCGCTAGTGAATGCAATGCTCAATGTTCCTCTATCACAAATATAATTAGCCGTTAGGGTTTTGTGATTATTAAAAGTCCAGTATCAAAATGCACAGACTCGTACTTCAGTAGGGTTGAAAGTCATACGCTGCTCAGCTACCTGGTCTTGCAAGTCGATTTGGTTGTTAGTTAGTCTATCAAATGGCAAAGATGTTGATTCATATACACATATGCTAAGGAGAAGATGTAATGAGAGCTGGGTAGTAAATGTCATATGACTTCGATCAAGATAACTAGCTAGGCTTATATATACAGAATTGAAATTGAACCTTATAAAATGACTAGATACAAGGTGAGTATCCCAAGCATACTACCTGACATGTTCTAAACCCTTTTTATCTCGTCGCACGGTCCTCAGCTTCTACGCCCTGTACTTCTTTGTGGTCCGAGGTGATAGCGCCATCAAAGGAAAGCTTCCCTTCGTTTGCAGTTTCGATATCACGCAATCTGCCAAAGGCATGGAACTTTTCAAAGAGAACATCCATCTCCTCGAGAGAGCGACCCTTGGTTTCCCTAACGACAAGGAAAACCCAGAAGGCCATGGCAAAGCAGAAGCAACCAAACATGATGAAGGTTCGCCAGCCGAGGTTACCGATGGCCGCAGGAGTCACGTATGTCACCACAAAGTTGAAGAGCCACTGGGTTGCCGATCCGCAACCAACACCGTACGCACGAAGACGAGTTGGGAAAATTTCGGAAATGTAAACCCATGGAATCGGTCCCCATGAGGCGGAGTAGCCAATGACGTAGAAGTAAATCATGACGATCATAGCGAGGGATGCAGACGAAATACCGCCGTTACCACTAGGGTCCGGGGGATAGGATACCAGAACACCACCCAGGATGAACATCATCGTGGACATCCAAATCGCTCCAGCAATAAGAGACCACCGCCGACCAACCTTGTCAATACCAATGATGAGGAAGATTCCGGTGGTCACTACCTTGACGATACCATAGATGCCCGTTGTGAACAGACTCGTGCTGCCTCCGGCCACTCCAACAGTCTGGAACAGCTGAGGAGCATAGTACCCGATACTGTTGGTGCCGGTCCACTGCTGCCAGAACATTATCAAGAAACAGTTGACAAATCGAATGCGGTTTCCAGGCAGGAATGGTTCTCTCCAAGTAAGTCCCTGGGTCGCTTCAACTTCGTGTTCAACGGCCGCTTTAATTTCCGCCATCTCGGTCTGGACCGCAGGGCTCGTAGTTGGCTCGGAGCGCATATAGGCAAGGGCTTCGAGGGCTTCCTCGAAGCGATTTTCTTTGGCTAACCAACGAGGAGATTCGGTCAAAAAGAACAAGCCAATCATCATAAGACCACCGGGCACAAGCTGGAATCCAATAGGGATGCGCCACTGCTTGGTTGTGGGGGCAATAGTTTCCGACACGCCATAGCAAAGCCAGTATGCAACAGTGACACCAATGACGAGGAATTCCTGGAAAAGACCAGCAATACGGCCACGAATCGCCGGGGGGCAGTTCTCAGACACGAAGACTGGAGTGATAGCCGACATGCCTCCAATTCCGAAACCTGCAATCACGCGTCCACCGTACATATATGATAGCGCGCCGGTGGCGGCGGTTTGGACAGCAGAACCGATAAGGAAGAACATCAGGAATCCCATGATGGAGTAGCGACGGCCAAACTTCTCATTGACAAAGGAGGCGAGGATAGCGCCGAAGAAACATCCGGCAGTGAGAAGTGAAACGACGTTCGATGAGACTTCAGCATTTTTGGCATCTGAGAAACCAGAACTTCCTTCTTGAAGTCCAAAGTCGGCCTTGAAACTTGGAAGCTCCAGCACACTTCCCATCACACCTGTGTCATATCCTATTCCGGGAACTTGTTAGCATACTATATGTGATAGCCAATGGGAAAGAGGAATTCTTACCGAATAAAAATGAACCCGTATATGCCACCGTGGCCAGCACGTAGACACGACTATTCTTGAATATACCCATCTTGCAGTTTAGGCTCCCAGAGTATGAAGTGAGGAAGAAAGATATCGGGGCAAGAAGGATTGGATATATAAGGCCCTGAAAAGAATGGAGCACAGACACCCCTCATCCAGCCAATTCTTGGAACAATTCTTGGAATTGTGTTCATTAAATTCCAATTGCTGGGGAAAGCGTACCCCGGACCCATTGTACCATGGAGGTTCAATTGCCGACAATGTGGAGTATGGAGAAATGAAATTCTCTGTTTGGTCCATCCAACTCCATCCACCTTGCATCCACCGTGCATAAGTGTCAACGGAGAAATTATATCCACGGCTAGATAAGGTTACACACCTTTCCCACTAAACGAAATGTGGAAAGTATGGGGCCCCGGGGGCGTAACTCGGCAAACCTGGAGTCGGAACTGTTTGTGATAGCCGGAAAATTTGGTCATTCCCTTTTACATTCTTCGAGTGCCTCCTTTAGTATCCCATTCTTCGAATAGCACATTCCCCGATGTACTGTATTTCTCCATGCCCTTTTTGGTGGTTAAGCTAGGTAGCAACCCCCAAGGTCAATTTGATAATGCGAATCCTTGGCATCATCTGCCAAGCCTTCCGGGGTCGGCTTCCCTTGGAGGCGCTCAATTGCCGATACCATCACCATCCCACACGGGCACCGACATGGGTATCCCCGGGACCATGGATATGTACTAAAAGGGGGAAAAATCATTGGCCCGAATGACTCGTACGGCTTGGGCTACCGGCATTACGCTGTTCAGTATCTCCGCATTTAGTGTTCACTTCCCCACATCCGCTTATTCCCCCACATAACCAGTATGACAATGGTTATGCCGGGGCACCCCGCGCGGCGCAACACGCTGATACTTAATATCATCACACAGAACAATGCCCTCGTTCAACGGATTAATCTCGCCAAGGTCTCTTACCACGGCGTTTGGCTCACTCCGAACCTTAGGATACTCACGACGACGCCAAGTTCCTTATTATATCAAATTATTGATATGACGCGTATTTAAATCTGCCTGTAACCGATCACTGTCACGAAGATGCGCACGGTTCCCGCCATCTGATGCTTTGGGGCTGTGCATTCAGGATAGAAGCAGCCGTGCTGGACTGGCGGCTGTCACCGATGCATGGAAGCAAGGTGGTTTCCTATCGCAGTAGCCGTGCTGGAGCGTGCATGTTAGCCACCTCTGCGGCGCTCGAATAGCCCACCGGACGTGCGCCGTGCATAACCCGGGTATTTGTATCGTCGATTAATGTCGCGGAGTCGTCGAAGACTATAACGGCACCCTCGAAGGTGTTGAGTTCGTCTGGGGTCTCGAGGAGCCTTTTCCGAAAGGCCGGTGAGATCACGCATGTCTTCAGGATTGCTAAGTTGTGTTACGCATGTGTTGCTGCACGGTTCTCTCCATTACAGCTTAATGCGTCTAGACATAGTATTTTCCTGCTTCTAGTAACTCTGCCATGATTCAGGGAGTCAACCGGTGCAGGGATACTTTCATCCTAAGAACTCGACGGCGGGTTGCATGTTCATGAATAGAGGGATACAAACAGCCTTTGCAGGAGGGTTTAGTGTTTCACAACATTGGGTTTTTGGTCGAGGATTTTGCTGTGCGGATTATACTATACTACCGAGACTGGGTTGATAGGCCTGAGTTTGATGACATGTATAAAGATGGAATTCTAGGTCAAAGAAATAAAAGGAAGAGAAAGGGAAGCCGACTCTGAAGCCGAAAGATGCCAGGGCCGACCCGGGAATCCCGCATCTCGGCCTTGAATTTAGCCTTGGGATAAGTTCAATATCCCTTTTTATCCGAAGGACGAGTGGACATGAATGTGTCTATGTACTTTGTATACAAGTCCACCGCACACTATCCACACAGATCCACTGATTTTATGAGTGGAATTGGTTCCATCTGATCTACGTTGATGTACATCAATTTACAATATGTTTTGAAGTCAAGAGGGTTGTTCTATTCACAAGTCCCCTATTAATACAGAGCCCCAGACGCCATCTATGCAAGAAGAATTCTACTGAGCTGCGCACTGCGCCGGTTCATCGTCGTCTTCCTCGTCTTCCCATGCTGATGCGTCATGGCCATCCTGCGCACCGAATTCTTCCAATTGACCCTTGGGGTCGTATTCAACTTCGTCCACGGTGTCGGCCTTGATAGGAGGGCTGGGTTTAGGGAGGATTTCCTTAAGTTTCTCCAGCATCTCTGGGGTGGGCTTCCACGTGTTATCGGGGAACTTCACGTCAACAACCAAGTACAGGTCGCCACGGGCATCGGTACGCTTCATCGGCATACCTTCTCCGGGTACCTTGAGGACCTGGCCGGGTGAGAGGATAGCGCCGGCGGTGAGGGGGTGGTTAAGCTCAATGCCACGGCCATCGAGGTGCTTGATCACAACACGCGAGAACCCAGTCAAGGATTCCGCAAGAGTGATGTCAATATTTGCACGGAGATCCGAGCCGGCACGTGTAAACACAGGGTGTTCTTCCTCAATGATCTTGAAAACAATGTCGCCGGGCTCTTGATCGGGCACCTGGTCGGCCTCGCCTTCCAACACAATCCTGTCTCCTTCCCTAGAGCACAGTAAGTATATGATTCCGTTAGATAGTAGAAAAAAAAGACGGTCTTACCTCGCGCCTCGGGGGATGTAGATCTCCAGGATCTTCTTCGCCTCGGTCGTCCTCGTGCCCTTGCACTTCTTACACTTATCCTTCGGGGCGAAATATGAGCCTTCTCCGTTACATGTGGTACAGATAACCGTCTGCTGAGTCACGAACTGGCCCATGCGCTGCAAGACCTCCTTGTGGCCTTGGCCACCGCAAGTCGAGCACTTTTTGGCGGTGGCCTTTTCCTTGCCACCCTTGCCCTTGCAATGTCCGCAAATGATGTTCTTGACGCTGGAAAACCTAACGGTCTTTCCCTTGTACAGATCCTCCAGGCTGACTTCGTAATCTTGCTCTTCGCTGGGGCTCTTGCGCGGTTTGTTAGGGCGACCACCAGGCATTCCTCCCATGCCTCCCATGCCAGGCATCCCACCCATACCTCCCATGCCACCCATGCCACCACCGAACATCTGTGCCAGCAAGTCATCCAGGTCAGGCTGTCCTGCCATACCCGGCTCACCCGACCCGTTGAAGGCAGACATGCCGTGTGTGTCGTAGAGGTGTCGCTTATCATCGTCGTAGAGAATATCATAGGCCTCTTGCACGGCTTTGAACCGGATTGAGGCTTCCTCGCGCTCAGCTTCGGGGACTTTGTCGGGGTGGTTGGCCAAGGCCGCCTATTGGAAAGCCGACTGTCAGTATCGCTGGAATATGGAGACGATCGGGGTGCGTCTTGCCTTGCGGTATGCCTTGCGGATGTCATCTTTGGTTGAGCTCTGATGGATCTCTAGGACCTCTGTATGAAACAAACACTAATCAATATGGTATTTCTCTATAGTCGATGCGCGAAAAACATACCGTAGAGGTCAATTCCAGCCGGAGCCACTGAGAACATTGTTAGTAGGGTCCAAAAACAAACACGACTTTGCAACGTACTTATCAGTGATTAACTGTATAAAATACGATCGGACTTTTCTTCAGTAGAAAGAGGCCGTCAACTTGAGCCCAACTGTAAAAGAGAGAGAGGTTGGTGAACGAAGTGAGAGCGGGAGTTGTTTGATCCAAAGAAGTTGAGAAATTTTGTTCGGGAGCTCCGCGCCGCAACTCCGCAACTCCGCAACATCTCAAAGAGATCAGCCATTCTTTTCTTCCCTCAGATACTTGGACTATTTCACAATGAGAAGTCCTCAAGGGCTATTTACCAGGCGATCTTGGGTCATTCAACGCAGGAACTTTTCCTCTTCTCCAGCTCCTCAAGCACATAACTCGAAAAACAAACTGCCAAATAGCCCTGCGCGCACACGTTTTGCGCCCTCGCCCACCGGATATCTCCATCTAGGCTCCCTACGGACAGCACTTTTCAACTACTTGCTGGCAAAACGCACCGGTGGTAAATTCCTGCTGCGCATTGAGGATACGGACCAGGTTCGTGGACTGCGCTCCGTTGCATGAACTACGACTGATTACGGTAGAAACGGACGATCCCCGGAGCGGAACAGCGACTTTACGATGATCTAAAATGGGCGGGATTAAATTGGGATGAAGGTCGGTTTGAAACACATACCAAAATTAGGGGAAATTGCTGACTCTCGCTTTCCCGACAGGTCCCGTCGTTGGTGGTCCCTATGGACCTTATAGACAAGTGAGACACTCCTTTGTCGCAAAGTAAATCATTCCCTGACTCTTTGTTCCCGCGCAGTCCGAACGAACAGCTTTATATCAGTCCCACGCCAATGATCTCGTCTCCAACGGCCATGCATACCGATGCTTCTGCTCCGCAGAACGATTGGATTCGATCGCCCGTCACCGCAGCCAGGCTGGACTGGCGCCTGGCTATGACCGGAAATGCGGCGATATATCTGCCGAGGAATCAGAAGATCGAGCAGCGAAGGGAGAGGCACACATTATCCGATTAAAAGTGGAGGAATACCCCATGTTCAATGATCTGGTTTATGGCAAATCTGGTCAGAATCGACCGAATAACTCGAAGCTGGATTTCATCGACCGTGTATACAACGACCCAGTTCTTATCAAATCGGACGGACACCCCACGTACCACTTGGCAAATGTCGTGGATGATCATTGCATGAAGATCACTCATGTTATCCGAGGAACGGTGAGTCTACTTATTATATTTGTAACTATCAAGTCACAAGATACTGAACTAACAACTATCAGGAATGGATGGCATCTACGCCTATGCACATGGCGCTATATAATGCCTTCAAGTGGACGCCACCAAGCTTTGCTCATGTCCCTCTGCTCGTTGACCAGAGTGGACAAAAGCTCAGCAAGCGCAACGCAGATATCGACCTCTCGTCATTCAAGGATCAGCAAGGGATCTTCCCATCCAGCTTGGTGAACTTTGCTGCACTCCTAGGCTGGTCCCACTCCGAGAAGTCTGATGTGTTAAGTCTGAAGGACCTGGAACAGATTGTATGTTCATCTCATATCTCGTGAAACCACCTCAACTTCACTGCTAACAATTGAACAGTTCAATCTGAAAATCACACGAGGCAACACTGTCGTCTCATTTGAAAAACTCCAATTCCTCCAGAAAGCACATGTCCAACGTTTCGCCAAAAGTGGCGGCCCCGAGTTCGACGAGATGGTGAAGAAGGTGACCTCGGTGGTGGAAGAAAGCCACCCTCTCGACAAACTGTAAGTCAGCTATCTGCTGTAAAGAGCTCACGCCTGGATTATATGGTACCCAATTACTAAAACCTAGCAGCGCCACGATCCTCAAAGGTCGCACACTCTCCGAGTACATTGCGCCCCTCATCCGCGCAGATGCCAACAACTACACAAATGCAAAGGAGTTCGCCCAGCGTAACTCCATCTTCTTCACCCCAAAACTCAACAGGGCCCCTTACAAACCGGCCTCACCCAAACCCTCCCCAGAAGTCCCAATCAAAGCCCTGCACACCGCAGCAGCCGCTTTAACCCTCGTTCCACCTTCAGCCTGGAACATAGACACGCACCGCGACAACATTAACAGCTACGATGGCTCGGAAAGCGTAGTCTTCTCCGCATCTGAGTCAGAGCCACCCGTTGGCTCCAATAATGCAACCAAAATATTCAAGAAGGAGCTGTATCACTACCTCCGCTGGGCGCTGTCGGCTTCTGCGCCTGGGCCTGGAATCTCAGAGACTATGCTAGTTCTTGGGAGAGATGAGACACTTCGCCGAGTGCAGGACGCCAAGGCATTGACGCAGTCCCTTGTTCCTCCTGCTGGCCAGAGAGTTCCTAAGGGAACTTTGCCTGAGGATCAGAGCTGGATGGGGAGTCTTGCGACTAGCCGGTAGTGTAGAATGAGGAGATCGAGCGACTGTATTATAGCTGTAACAGATATAACCCAATTTCAATATGTATTATGTGGTTGCTGAAGCTAGAACTCTTTGTGTACAACCTGATGAGACCCGATCAATCAGAGCTCCTGCTTAGTTCCTGTTGACTGCTCCAGACGATGCAGGCTTGAGAACACGCCTTTGTTCGCCAGCAATTCCGAGGGATGCCCTTCTTCTATGATTCGACCACTATCCAGAACAACAACTCGGTCAAAGTCGAGCATGGTATGAACTCTATGCGCAACCATAATGATAGTGCAGTTCTGGAACTCCTGGCGAATGACTTTCTGGACCTTGGCGTCTGTCTCTGCATCCAGACTGATTGTAAAATGTTAGCGTTGCTGAAACAAAGAGATGCAAAAAGATCACATACCTGCTTGTCGGCTCATCTAGAATCAGAATGTTACTCTTCTTGAGGAGCGCCCTTGCTAGACAAAATAGTTGTTTTTGACCTTCAGACAAAGTTGTGTCGGTCAATATCGCATCTAGCAACACTCCACTGTGAGCGCCGCTGTTTGTCGCAGACACAAGAGCTTTCCATATATCGACACATTGGAGAGCTTCAATGATATCGGCATCGCTGGCGATGCCTAAAGGATCGACGTTCTGCCGAATGGTACCCGGGAAAATGAAGGCTTCTTGACTGAGAGAGCTGATCCGGTGCCGAATCAATGACCGAGGCACCGTCGATATGTCTACCCCATCAATAAGGATCTGACCAGAGATCACCTCGTTGAGACGGAGTAGTGATAGAGCCAGAGTGCTCTTGCCACTGCGAGAGAGTCAGCTTGTTCTCACCTTTACTGAAATGTCATTTCTCACCTTCCAGTCCTACCACACAGCCCAACTTTCTCCCCAGCATGAATATCCAAAAGAAGACTGTGCAATACGGGCTCTGCATTCTCGGACTCATATGCAATGTCCGCGCCAGCGAATGAGATATCCCCCTTACTTGGCCATTCTGCGTCTGGCAGCTGCTCATAGGCTATATCATTTTCCTCGCTTGGAGTATCTTCCGAGAACTCCTTGATCCTGGCAATCGCACCCAAAGAGGTTTCCAGGAGGGTCCAGTTCTGAATCAGTTCTGAGAGTACTTCTCCCAGATCCATCATCCCAACCAGAGCAATGCCCAACAGACCGGGGCTCACTTGTCTGCGCAGAGCGACAGCAGCCCCAATAAGAATGACCGTCATACCGGTCACAATAAGTTTTAGCACCAGGCCAAGCCATTGCTGAATGCACAGCAGGAGATAAAACGGCCTTTGGGACCTATCAAGTAAGTGTAGCATTTTGGATGTAGACGCCGTAGTCCATGAAAAGGCACGGATGGTAACGATACCGGCGAGGGATTCAATGAAATGAGTGTAAAGGGGGCTTTTAAGCTCAATCCTGGGGGTTTGTCAGTTTGTTGAACTGCACAAAAGCATGTTGATTAAATTAAAGCATTGTTGGCGAGGAAAAACATACTCTAATAGTCGTAACTGGCCAGATGTGCGCAGGTAAAAGCGCTGGACTAGTACTAACATCCCAACCAGGAAGGGCACGGATATAGCCAAATAGGGCAATGCAGCTATGGCAATCGCAGATTGCGCAAGTGCCCCAACGATTTCTTAATGTCACTCAAGTCAGAAACACGTAAAATAATTGGAGAACATCCATGGATGTATAATGAATGCACTTACGAAATCCTGTGGAGATGAAACCTCGAGGCAGAATCATGTCCACTAGCCTCATGTCTTGACTGAACCGGGTGATGAGAGAGCCCGTATCGACCTGAGACAGGAAGGACAAAGGGGCACTGGATATGTTAGCTGTAATTTCGATTAGTGAAGAATTGGAAATTTCACCTCATGCAGGTCTGCAGTACGGTAGCATGGACATTTTTCGACGCGGTCGGTACAATGACGACCCAGGTCCAACTTATAGATGGAAATCAATCAGCATGTAAATCTGAACGAAGTGTAAGAAGGCTTCACCTACTATACCGCAAGAACTATTGAAGTAGCTTCGATGAAGGACAATGCCCCATACATTCCAAGCCAGTAACCCAATCCCGAGTTCGAAGCGCTGTCGGGGCTAGAGGACCACATTCCAATCCAAGCGTCTATGCAAAAATGAACATCATACGACATTTATTATCGGTTGGGGGAGTTTTGACATACCGCGCAGTCCACCAATGCCACCACTTACAGCCAGTATGAAACTCAGCACAAAGACTCGAAGCCAGCCCATAGCAGAGAAATAATACTTGTAAACAGTAATATCAGCTGTCTTTCGGCCTTTATCGGCAGCAGTTGGGATGGATATGCGGCTGGTTATGGCTTCGAGCGTCTCCGGAAGCTCGATTGCGGTGTCATGCTGCATCTCTTCTTTCTCAGTCTGTCCTGGTCGGATACTTAACCGTTGAACATATCCTCCGGTATGACTGAGAAGCTCAGAGAAGCTACCCTGTTCCAAAATACTGCCATTCTCGCCTAGTACGACTATAAAGTCGGCCTGGGGTATGTATTGAACTGATGATGGTCAGTATATACTTACGACAAGTGACCAGATAAAGATATCGAGGGTTAGGGAGCGCACCATTGTGAGTCGCGAGAAATACAGTACAGCCCAGTCGACGCAGCAGTCCAGACGGGCCAAAGACATTGTTGAATACCAGTCGCGAGGTTGCATTGTCAAGGGCACTTAAAGTATCATCGAAGCACGCAATCCTTTTGCGAGCATAAACAGCTCGTGCTATAGCCTATGATAAAATCAGTCCACAAACCCATCATTATTTCCCGGACAGATCAATCGTATAAAGGGGAATACAGTAGCTTACAATTCGTTGCTTCTGTCCTCCACTAAGCTTAGAGCCTTTGCTACCAACGGACGTCTCATCACCCGCTGGCATCTTCTTAAGATCGGAATCCAGAGCACATGCGCTCACCACGGTCGAATACCAATCAGCGTCAAACGCAGCGGATGCATTTTCCCTAATGATGTTTTCCCGGATTGTCGTATTGGTTAGCCAAGGGGTTTGCTCACAGAAAGCCAGGTCTGGGTACTTGATGAAAGCTTCGCCATCAAGAATGGACGTCTCATTTGCGAGGCCTTTGAGGAAAGTTGACTTTCCGCTTCCCACAGGACCGACAATCGCAACTAGAGTACCCAAGGACGAGGGGCGCAGATTTAGGGTGATACCGGCACTATCTGACGGAGAGCTATTCCAGCCAAATCGAGCATTTTGCAAGGAGATCAGCACGTTGGACTGATTCTCTGACGAAGAAATTCCCGTAGCCCCGAGCGAAGAATAGTTGGAAAGTTCGACTTCGGATGAATTGTCGGGCGATGCAGGAGTAGATGATGCAGGAGGATCTACTTCCGGTTGGAGCAGTTTTCTTTTTTCTGTGCGTAAGTGAGGTTAATTCGCTGTACATCTTGCTCAGTAAGACACATATCCGAGTACTCACCAACAATATTGGGACGTCTCAAGAAGTCCTGCACTCGATATAAACATCCTATTGATGCGAATGTGTCTGGAACTGCCAACAATAGATGCATGAGTGGAGTGATCAGCAGATTGATCAGTGAAAGGGCCGTGGTGGCTTGTGAGACGGAAAGACCATCAGACCCTTGCACCTTTGCAACCACAGCATAGGTCGCGAAGGTGGCAAACTGCGCAATAATCCTTGGGAGGTTTACTGAAAGGGCTTGTCAGTCTGGTCCCAGTGTGTTCACTCGAATTTCCCGTATTTAGGGACTTGCAATTCTACGTACTCATGCAGACACGGACGGTTTGGACTCGGCGGAATTTCTTGGAGATCTCAAGCTCGTCAATCCTCAAGCCTTCAATGGATCTCTTGATCATCTCTGTTAGTCCTAAAAACTTGACGCTTTTTATTGAGCCGAGGACGTGGCTGGTAAAATTTATCCGCTTCTCGGTAGCTTGTAGCCATGTCTTCTGCCTAACGGACACAGCGTCGCCCATGGCGAAAGAAGCAGCAGTAAAAGCTAACCAATTATATTAATATATTGTAGCCATAAATTCTGATGCGAAAAGTGGTAGAACATACCTGTTACAATTAAAATGGGTGTGATACAGACAACACCGATCTGAGTTTGAAGGACCCAAGCCGCTAGTCCCAGCTGTAGGATACTAGCCCAGGATTCGCACACTGTAGAGTGAAAGTACTCGGCGAGCATTTCAACGTCAGCTCCCATAAGGGACATGGCACTAGACTCATCGGTGCTCCCCAATGGCAGCTCCATCATGTGCTGATAGACAAGAGCCATAAGGCCACCGCGGACCATGGTCGTAGCACGAAATCCTAGGTGCTGGTAGGATGCCGTACTGACCTGAATTAAAAATTGGAATTAGCCGATAATCATCTAACAAATTCGAACAAGTAGTTAAAGACATGAGACTTACAGCAGCCCCGATGAAGACAATCGCGGTAGCTCCTATCAACCCATAGCCAATATTTATCGAAGATTCAGTCTGCTCGAGGAATGTGACAGTTTTGCCAACTAAAAATGGCTGTGCTATGCTAAACCCAATCAGGGCGAGTCGAGGGAAAGTAATAGCAGCAATATCCCAGCGAAGGCAATTGATGATAGCCAGCAGCAACGCATGTCGACGACTCTGATCACACAGCGCCCATGACTTTGAAAATCGGTCAGATAAATCACTAGACGACAGTTTCTCGTGGATGTTAGGTAGTGCATCGCCAGTTAGCAGCAAGGTGTGTCCTTTTCTAAGCAACGCATTGAGCCAGGCAAATAAGCCCCGACTAAAGAGACCACTGGTACTCTCGATAGACTGAGTCTTTTCGGCCGGCAACAACCATTTCCGTTTTTCGACATTTGCCAACACCAGGAGGACCAACTTGATGACCAGAGACGCGGTAAGACAGGCCGGGTATGCTCTACCATATGGCAACAGCCAGGCGGTACGTGCTCGTGCGACATCTAGAAGCACCGTAATAAACAGATACGCAGAGACAAGGAACGAGGGACGAACAGCCCGGCTGTGCTCTAAATGAAGGAGAACGACAAGAGAAACTGCCACTATAAGGCTGAGAGTAGCACCAGCAACTGACACATGCTGTGCGGGGTAGTGCTGCGTTGCACTAAATACAAGCAAAGCGACTTGGATTCCTGCTGATACTGTTGCGATGGCCTAAATAGAGCATTCTTTAGATATTTCAGATCAGACTATGACTTTAGAGAGATAGCAAGACTCACCAGCGTCGCCAAATGAGTCGATGAAGATTTTACTTTTAAAGACTCTCTAGATAGCTGGAACAGGCGAATTGGAAACAGCAGGAGAAAACAGGCTGCTGGAGTAATGTCGAATATCCATGCTTCAAATAGGACTTGCTTACAATGTCAGTATGAGTGGGGACTGCCCAGGTGCCAAGACTTCGGAAAGATGTACCTGTAAAGTCGAACCCTCCTCGACAACCATGTTGACTAACCACAGGCCCAAAGAGGCTATCACATGTGTCCCCGATGGACGCCATTGCACCTCTTGAGCTTCGATGGGTGTCCTTCGTGTTAGAGGAAGGTTGAAACTGAATTTAACGGATGAATTTAAGCCGCCCAAAAGACCAGGGGGTCGTTTTATGGTAGCCTGATAACGAATCCGCTAACCCCGTACGGAGTCCGTCATGAGGCTGCAATCCAAGTCATACCCTGGTCCAGTAGGTAGACAGCTAACCCTAAAGTAGTCAAGTGCCTTGGCTTAATATATCCATGCTATTTAATCCAAGGGTGAGACAATTGAAGGGAAGCTTGGAGAATTGGAAGATAAAATTAACAACACTATATCGAAACACTGTACTTCGCTGACAAATACATAGAAAAACGGTGAAAACCAAGGACAAAATCCGACTCCCAAACCCGGAGATCGAAGAGGGAATAAACGAGCCATGAGCACCAAGCCAAGGAAAACCATAAGTGACAGAGAAACGAAGATAAAAATAACACCATGCCAAGAAGACCAGAAAAAGGAGAAGATTAGACGCAGTGGGAATTGAAACAGCGAGGCTGTCGGTCGAGAAAGGTGTATGTGACAGGAATCCTCAGAAGGCTGCAGCCTGACACAGTCAGGCGCAGGGTTGGGCTCAATAACATCGACAGATGAAAGAGAGCATGGGCAAGATTGGCATGATAAACTCGTAATTTTGAACAGGAAGAGAAGTTGAAGTCGGCCACTCGGGAATTAGCGTGTGTGGAGATAGAAGAAAACTGCCCGTAAGGAATTCAAGGGAGCTCAGTCATGAAAGGGAAGCCAAAGTTTATCATGAGCCGTGCAGAATCCAGTCGTGGGATCATCAAAGGTCAACAGTTGCGTAACCACCGTTGAACATCCGAGGCGCCGAGAAATGAGATGCAAAAGGTGAGATGCATTATGGGGAGGGGAGGCGATGTCAGAACATTTAGTAAGTTTCGTAGTCATCGGCCCACTCGTTATCACTGCCAGCAACACGCAGGACCTGCCCGGGATGCGGACCATCTGGACTAACACTGCGAATGCCCTTAGCCTTCTTGCCAGTGAGATCGGATCCATCCTCGGGTGCAAATCGCTTTTCTCCCTGTGCAGCACGCAGTTTGGAATAGTAAATGTCACTGGGATCGGCTTCTGATCCGGAGCCGTCCTCGAAAGTCTCCCAGTTTTCAGATCCAGAGGTTGTAGTGTTGACTGTAGAGGAGTTGGAGACCTGACGGGCAGCTGGGGGCGGAGCTGCATGCTGCAGGTACGGGTTAGGTCGGGGGAAGGCTTGGCTAGAGGAGTTCAGAGACAGTGAGGACTGTGAGGAGTGAGATGAGTGAGAGAATCCAGTGGATCTTTGCGAGTTCGAAAATCCTGAAGCGCTCATGAAGGATCTCTGGCGGTCATCATATACGTCTTCTGGGCTAACAGGCCGCACATAAGCACTAGACATGGCGCTGTTGCAGCGAGGCGGCTCCATGAGGTGGCTGAAGCGGTCTTCTCTTGACTCGACTGTCAAGGCACGCATCCGTGGAGGAGGTCCACGTGGGGGCGGCATCTTTCCATTGAGTGTGCTAGACGAGTATGCGCCGGGTTGCATACGACGCTCAGGGGAGTTGTTTCCATGGGGCATGTTTCCCAGCGGGACGCGAGCGGGAAGCTTTGAAGGGGATGTTGCGCCGGCTCTTGAGGTGGCCCCAGCTCTAGAAGCCCCGTAGCCAATGGTGTTGTGTTTAACTGGGCCGCTGCTAGTGGGGGTCTTTGTGGCTGAGCGGGGGGGAGGCGGGCCTCTCAAGGAGCTTCCGGGGCGAGGCGGCGGGAGTTGTCTCATTGTGTTTGCTTTAGTAGATGAAGGTGGTGCAGATGGTGTCTTTGAGCGTGGTGGAAGCATTGACCTGACAGGTGTCAATGAATCAAGATATCGGTCTCCGTGAACCAGGAATGGACGGCCGAATTCGTCTTCCCAATATTCCAGCTCCTTTCGCAGGTCAGCTTCAAGCTTCGGCAATTCTTTGGCGATTCTCTTGCGCAACTTCTCCTCTCTCAATAGCTTTCCAGGGTCACGCTTCTCTCCTTTATTCCCGCGGCCCATAAGGCGGGATGCGTCTTGGCTTGACGTTGCAAGTGCCTCGCGGTCTGTCAGAAGACTGCGGTGTCTTTCAATCATTTCGAGAGTAGGAGCGCGCTGCTCCTTAATGGCCTCCAATCGTGTAATCTCGGCCTCATGGGCCTCGAGCAAAGCATCACTGCACACATCGGAGAATGCAGGTGTGAAATCGAGCATTTCCTCTTCAGAGAAGAACAGAGTGTCCCAAAGTTCCTGCAATCGACACCGAGCATCCTCCACAAACAAGTGGAGATTCTGTCTCTTAAGTTCGTTGAGGCGTGTCAATTCCTCTTCGAGGTCGTTGATAATGCGCAAACCGCAGCCACGGTTCGCAGCCAGGAATGCCTTGCGATCAGCCTCCTCAACACCAAATCGATCCCAAAGAGAGATCACAGTATTTCTGAGGTCGTTGATCTTGCGCTCACGGCCCTTCTTTTCTTCCACCAATTTATTGCGCTTGGCCATGAGGTTGGCCACATCATCTTCATGCAGCCCCAGTTGTTCAGGGGAATCGCGATAACACTTCACAATGGTGGAGTCTGTTTGCGCCTGGGGTGTTCCGAGTTCGGCCCAGAGCTTGATCATTTCTTCGCAGGCAGATTGGACCTGGGCAATGCGGCGATGGTATTCTTCGTAGACGTGGGTGAATTCAGCATCCAATGCCGTCACATACATAGGTGAGAGGTCAAAGCTTGGAGGAATCGATGACCCTGGTGCAGTGGGAGGAAGCTCAAGCTTGACAAATGATGGCTCGAGGTGTGAGGAATAGGATTCAAGCGCGTCCACGAGTTCTATTCCAGGTTAGGAAAGGGAGATCAACGACACATCGCACAGGTAACACTCACTCTTAACCTGCTCAAAGCGCTCACGATGCAACTTGCTCATCGAGTCGTTCTTCTCGCGCAAGAATGCAATACATTTGTTAAGTGGGTATGTGACACGAAGGTCGTCGCGGTTAAGCTCGTATTGGCCATTGGCTCGTTCATCGCTCAGGGACGATTCCATTTGTTGAATAGCTGTAATAAGACGTTCTGCTTCCTGCGTCATATCCTCTCTCTCTCTAAAAATAGGATTAGCAAGCCGCCAATGGGTCTGGTTTTGGATGCGACTCACTCATCAACAACCTTAAGATGGTTGTTTAATGTCTCTGATAGGGCGCTAAAGAGCTGTATCACTATGTTAGCCACAGGACAATGCCATTGTTACACCTAGTTCGAGCCTACCTCCGCTTCACGGGACTCGCGCTCGCGCGCAGGAACTCCGATCTCGTCGTAAATCCCATGGAGCTGGGCGACGATGTTATTGACCTGTGTGGTCAGGTAACCGGTGTCTACCGCCATTGTAATGAAAGTCCCTTAATTAGGGTGACAAAAGTCGAGATTGATAACAAAGAATGAGTTGTATCCAATCCAACGACACAGTGCCGAGCGAGGCGGCGACAGGCTGACCAATGTCGGGATCAAAACAAGAGAGCCTGGCACACAGGGTTCTCAGCACACAAGGTGCGACGGAAATAAACGAAAGTAAAGGTTTGCGAAAAAATACTTAGGGCAGCGACATAGGAGGGCGAGCACACTGTTGTTTATGAGGGGGCAAGTAGTGAAATCGCGGATGATAGATAACATCAAGTTTCCAAGGTCGCAAGTGGTGTTTGGGCGCGATCGTCGTCCAGGGCAACGGCTGACTCAGCCAGTTCCACCGCCCAATACTGCCAATCAATGATCAACCCCACGGCCTACTCTACTTCATGCATTGACTTCGAATGCTATTTATTCTCCGGTCCTTGCAGAACTTCCATTATCACTGAGCCCTTGCTTCAACTACTCTGATCCTTTCAATACATTGTTCACCCTTTGACTGTCTGCTCCATCCCCATCCATCCAAAAATGCAGGCTGCCCAGCAGGCCTGGGGTGAGTACCTCCATACCCATATGACAGCGAGCTTGTGATTAACCAATGTCCATGCACAGAGCTCGAGAACGCGATAAGCGTCTTCGATCCTCAGCGAGACGCCCTCTACGAATACAATGCCGACACAGAAAAAGCTCTTAACGACGCCCGACCATGGGCGACCGACCCATACTATTTCAAGCACGTCCGAATCTCCGCTACAGCACTATTGAAGATGGTGATGCACGCCCGCTCAGGTGGCTCACTAGAGATTATGGGTCTGATGCAAGGCTATATTCTACCCAACACCTTCGTGGTGACAGATGCGTTCCGCCTGCCAGTCGAAGGTACCGAGACCCGAGTGAATGCACAGGACGAGGCAAACGAGTACATGGTATCATATCTTGAGACGTGTCGAAACGCAGGGCGGATGGAAAATGCTGTCGGATGGTATCACAGTCACCCTGGTTATGGGTGCTGGCTGTCTGGGATTGATGTGGCCACTCAGCAAACACAGCAAATGACTGGACCTTTTGTCGCCGTCGTCATCGATCCGGACCGTACCATCTCCGCGGGTCGCGTTGAGATCGGCGCTTTCCGCACATTCCCATCGAACTTTACCCCACAGAAGGAGGCTCATGAAGATGACGAGTATCAGACTATCCCGCTCGGGAAGGCGGAGGACTTTGGCGCACATGCCAATCAGTACTACTCTCTTGATGTCAGTCATTTTAAGAGCACTCTTGATACGCAAATATTGTCCCTTCTATGGAATAAGTACTGGGTCGCGACTCTCAGCCAGAGCCCGCTATTCACCTCTCGTGACTTTGGTAACAAGCAGATCATGGATCTGAGCCAGAAAGTACGAAAGGCCGCGCGTGGTATGGAGGCCACCGGTCCTCGTACTGGTGGTGTCAACGCCAAAGATCAACAACTAGATAAGGTTGTCCGCGGCGGACAACGGATCGTTGCGGAGGAAGTGAAGGGTCTCCTGGCATCCGAAACGAAGATGAAGCTCTTCCACGGCATCGGAAATGAGACTCCTTCGACGGAGTGATTCGGTTAAAATGATGAGGGGTCCTCAATCCCATGGATCTTGACATGACTGCCACGCTTTTTTTCTTTAGCTTGAACTGTTGTATTTGGCGCTCAGCGGGTTAATATTCCTCTATCTCTTTGCCATATTCGCTGGCGTTTCTCGGGTCTTGCCATGTGCAGCCGTCTTTCTCGATCGATCAAGATCATAGAATATCAAAATCGCAGTTCCTGTGAATGAACGAATTTACGACTTCATCTTTCGCCATTTGTAGACGTCCCTAATAAACGATAAATACTGCCCTCATAGGGTGATGTAGAAATTCCGCTAGGCAAAGCAGTCTAAGATAAATCAAGAGAATCAACCTCTATTGGCGCGGAATACGCAATATTCCGAGTAAGAATGGAATAAGTAGTGGAACACTGTATATAATGAAGTGGGAAGGACCAAGCCAACTCCACCGGACAACATCCATCAGACAGGAACAAAAGTCTCAAGTCGTTCGTGACGTTCATTATTCAGAAGATGACGTGGAGGACATAAGCTTGAAAAGAAAAAAGCAGATCGCCCCAACCTGGCGACAACACAAGGGGATATGTTGAAAAACAAAAGAAAGAAAAAAGAAGTGAAATCCAAAGCCAAAAAAATGGACGCCGAGAAAATGGCCAAAATATGTCACAGTCAGTACAAAGAAGAGGTGAGTACGAGGTGGTCACGACGGGAGGTAACCTCATCTGGGAGATAAGAGATGGAAGCAGGAAAAAGGGGGGAATGCGCCAGAAATCCTAACCAATCGAACAGCTCTATCGGGAAAGTGGTATATCGAGAATCAACGTACGGAGTACTTCGTATTTGCCACTCCGTATTCGCCGGTACAATGAGAAATGCGCCGAGGGTGACTGCAGGGAATGTTCAAAGGTGTGGGTCTTGGAAAGACATTCACATGCATGAGATAGATCGATCTTCAAGGATCCTTGCTGAGAAGGTGAGAAACTGAGGTAGTGTGGAGACTAGGACAGCCTAAACAAGGTCACGAGGCCCGCAAATATCCCAAAAGGTGTCGGTTTAACCTGCGTTGGTAAAATAAATAAATAAAACAGTGGCGTCGATTGGAGCGCGAATCGCGGGTTTTGTCGAACCTGTTTGGTGGGCGGGATGTAACTTGACAGGGATCTTCACGGGTTACAGGAAACCGGACTCAGATAGTAATCTACGACGTTCAGAATCAAAAACGGTTAGTCTCAACAGCCGAACAGTAGAGAGAGAGAGAGAAAAAAAAAACGCAAAATTCTCTTGGCCCAAAAAGAGGAGAATAGCAGGTCAAATTTGGGTATCGCCGAGCAAATGCCAAACGCCATTTAAAACAAAACAAAAATCCAAGATTATCGCAAAATAGCAACGGTGGATGCAAACAACAAGGAGCCCTTGTCTCTGCTTGTGGTTTCAGCATACCTTGCAATCTTTTCATCCTCGCGCTCCCTAGGCTCAATTTCCAGACTTCGTTCGTACATGTCGTGTACATCACCAGCGCCTTGGAGGTTACTGAGAATGTAATCTTGAAGTTCGCCGACGGGTTGCAGAAGATACGGCACGTTCTGGTATTGTTGGATATCCCGAATGACTTCCGCGGTCTTAGCCCGCTTATTGAAGTTGATCAATTCCGAAGGTGTTAGAGACGGAATACCATCTTCAATGAAGGTCAAATCCGTAAGATAGACACCTAGGATATGTGTTAGCCTCAAATTAAAGGGGTGAGATATTCCAAGACGATCCACTTGAGATAGTCGTAATGCATACCGAAAAATGGAATACAGGGCGGGTTAGCGAGATGCAGGGTTTCTCGGTATTCGCCAAAGTTCTTTGTACTAGCCATAAGCCGGCGCATCTGTTCCAGAACTGCGGACGTGCGTCCGCTTACCTGGCCCCACGTCCTACCTAGACGATGAATCGGTGCAGTTCCAAGAGCCGAGATGATGGATGTTAGGGTAGAGTAATTGTTCAGATTGCGACATTTCTGTACAATCGAATTAGCAAAGCCGAAATTTAGGAAACAAACTTAGAAGAGACATACATCAGCCACGTTCACAAAGTGTTTGATGACTACAACACGCTTCTTGACATCGCCTTGAGCGAGAATCATTTCGGCGACCCAGTTGGTAAGCTGATTCGAGTGCAGAATCAATGCCTTGACATTAGGAGATGGTTCCGGCTCATCAGGCCCGACCTTCTTCTGCCATGTCTTGTTCAAACACTCAGTGGGTCGAATTTTGGAGTAGAGGCGCGACTCAATGACGGTCAGCTGCCGAGCAAACTCCGTTGGATCAATGTCGAGGAACTTCAGCTTCTTCATGTTCTTAGGGATAATTGGTGTTGGTGCAGCGGTGCTCTGAGTCGGAACAAGCCGCTTGACAGTTGTATCTTGTCCCCGAAGTCTTTGTTCGATCACGGCCAATAATGTAGGGGTTCCTGGGGTTTTTGTGGTAGCGATTGAGTCGCTGGTAAAGGTATGAACACGTCGTAGGAGATCCATGTGCAGTTCATCATTAGGCTCCATCCAGAAGTGATCGAACCAACTCTTAAGAATGTTGACAACACGGAATCTGATCGGCTTCTGTTTTCGATCGATCCACATTTGCATGTCATCTTGATTCAGACCAAATGGAGGCTGAATGTTGAACCGCTGGACAAGCATTTCAAATAGTTCGGTAGCAGTAGTGAAAGAGCGATAGGTAAGGAGGAAGGTGTTGTTGAAGGATGCATCAAGCTTATCGTGCCGGGTGAGGTGTTCAACCAATCCTGCGAGTGTTCCACATTTGAGGATTGGCAAGTCTCCCTTGTTATCGTAGAACACTTCGCCTTCATGGGCCATTTTCAAGAACCAGGGAGTCTCTTCGGGCTCACGCACTGGCTCCCGGATTGGCTCCCGGGTGATAGCTGTGGGGGGTGCCTGGCCAAAGAATCGTTGTGCCTTGTCCATATTTCTTCGTACTTTATCGGTGCCACCTTCCTTTTCAGGAGCGTAGGAGGACGGAATTCCAATTGACTCTGTGGCAATCTTGGCCTTGGACTCGCCCCGCTTATGGATGTTCTTGTACGATTCATCTTCCGCTTCTTGGCGACCATCACGTTGTAGAGATGACGCTGGTTCGGTGGGGATCTGCTCGAGGAGCAGCGACAGTGAAAAGCCAATCTGGGAGACAAAATTCTCCAACTGCCTGGCGATGCCTCGCACGGCATTCACACGATCGTCGAGTGAATTACCACGAAGCTCGGCCCACTCATCAGCCAGAGGGGCAGAGACCGCCTGACAGCTCAGCACGAAATCTCCAATTGCATCGTAGACTCTTTGCTTCTGCAAGCTGAAGTCTACTAGCTGGGGGTTCTGGAAGCTGGTCCCCAACGGAGCTAAATTCATCGACTCGACCGAGGAGATCCATGGGCGAAACTGTTCAATGACCTTAATTGCAGCAGCTGAGATTGCATCCGCAATATCTCCATGTTCCCCCACTGTAACGATCTTCCGATTTACAACCAACCGTTCTTCTAGTCGCCGAATGCTACCAACAAAAGATCTCCTGAGAATGTCGATTGAATCCAAAAACGCAGTGTCGAGACAGACCGATGGCTCTACTCGCGAGTCGGATCCATCCGGGACAAGGAATGAAGTTGGACCTGAAGCATTCAAGGAAACACCATTGTTCTGCCAGCTACCACCTGAAAAGCTACCGCCAACAAAGCCAGGCACAATACGATGGATCGCATCACCGCGCTGTTGTTGAGCCACTTCCACGTAGCCATAAACACCCTGCATGACTCCGTCGGCCTCCTGCAGACATTTATTGGCCGAGTCGGCACCAGGCCAATCAGCGGCGGCAATGTGTGACGAAAGAACCAGTTTTGAGAACTTGGACATCATGTCCCGGAAGTGAGGATATAGGGCTTTGTTTGTAGAAATGATAGATGGGTTGCCAGAGTGATTATCCGTCGTGTCAGATCCAGCAGCCAGCAACATGCGAAGATGGTCGGATATATCCTCGGCCTTTCTTACATACTCCGCACGCTCACCGTTGAAAAGCGTCCGGCGGTAAGCTTCCACAGCGTACCGCATGTTATCGACAAGCAAAGGCCAAGTTATTGGTGGTGCAAAGCCATCGTCGACAAAGTGTTGAGGGGGGTTGGAGGAAATAGAAGGTCTGGAAAAGCTTTCGGTCACAGATGTGCTCGTACTGTTTCCGCCCAGGCTGTAGAGTTTTTGCGGGCTTTTGCTCGGGGGCTGCGGTTTGAAATCTTTAGATCCCGGGGCGTACAGGGAATCCATGGAGGTGGCAGGGGATACCCCATCCATCACGGACTGGCGTCGGCGAGAAATCGAGTCATGCGATCCTAACATCAACGACTCTCCTTCTGCCTCCGATGCAGATCCATCGTACTCGTCTTCGTCTCGCTCAAAGCCACGCGCCATCAGCTCCGGGGGTGGCCGTGTCTGATCGGGGACAAAGAAATTGTTTCGATCTCGCGGGCCTGGTTCGGTTGTTGCGGTCGGATTCTCGAAAGGGAGCTCCATGGTGGAATATCCGGTAAGGGTATTGAAGTAGAATAGACGGCCGTCAGGTGTCGCCTGGGGGATCCAGAATGCAGCCTCTTCCTGCTCCTTGGGCGCTGGAATACCCTCGATAGGGAGAATCGGCTGTGATTCCCGAGAGTTGCCCTCGGAGTTCACTTCCTCCTCATCGTGTCCATCGCCATATTCATCTTCAAGTCCGGAGTCCGCGCTGAGGTCGGTTTCGTGGTGGGCGTGTGCGAACTGGTCGCTGAAATCGTCCACTTCCGTGATTGGGGTACAATAGTTACTTGGGAACCAACCTCGAACATCATCGATGACTCCATCCCACCATCCGGTTTCTAGCTGGTTGAGGACCTGGATAATGTCGCCACGGCGGAAACTCAGGCTAGTGTGATCGTCGGCGTCATAATCGTACATAGCCCGTACGAAGAGCGCCGGCGGCTCCGGGCTGACTGCATATCCAGAGGCCATTTTGACCGGGGAATGTTTGATATGGTTGTAATCTCGTGACACACTGTTTTCCCGACTGCGATAGCGGGATAAGGCTGTGGGCGTGGTCACTTGTTCGTCGGTGTACTCGAATGCGGTCGCAACAGTCCCAGACTTGGCTAGCACGGTAGTGTCGACAGCTAAATCTGCCGCACGAATATCAAACATCGAGGGTTCACAGGGCCACAATCCAGAGAAGCTTCTGGAGGGGTTGAGGGGGGTGGTTTGAGCTCAATATCCGCTCATGGCTGATTATTCGATGTTGAGGAGGGGGAAGTGCGGGTAGGGAGTCACTTCTTACTCGGTCCCCAAAAAAAAAAATTTAAAAAAAAGAGCTTGCGTAGTCAAACAAGAGTACTGCAATTATGCCATCAATAAGTTATAACAACAGCAACCCTGGAGAAATGGAAGTGGGATTGAATTAGGGGGAGTTGCACCAGGTGGAGGCGGCACGGGCGCATGCAATACCGGTATTAATACAAGATGGAGCCCACAAGAAGGTCTTTTTTTGAGGGGAACCAACCTTGAAGTGAAAAATACGCAAAAGATTACAATACCATACCAATGAAATGTTTCTATCTTGCATGAACACGATATCCAATGACACCAAACACTCAACACCAATGAGATGAGCCTTTCAAAATGTTATGTACTTGGATATCCACAGTCTTACAGGTACCACAAACCCATGTAGTATTAATGTGACTCGACTTGCATTTGACATTTGATATTTTAAGTCCAAGTTGGACTCAGAATAATGGGGGGCAGCTGTCCCGTGTGTTAGCCCTACATCTGGAGCCCCAGACCATCCATTATTATTACATATTTAAATTTGTGTCTTTGTTTCAACATGATGTTCCCCACCGTCTGTGTGTGTGTGTGTGTGTGTGTGTCTGTGTCTGTGTGTATGTGTGATGAGATATCCACACTCACCACCTGGGCATGCCCAGGCATGCTTACACGCTTATGGTCACATCTCCTCGCTACCTAGGTCCATAACAGGTCTAAGCAGTCAGCCTGGTAAGGTATGACATATGTAGTTTGACGTATAACCTCAAAATTGGTGACAAATGCCAAAATATTAGAATGTACTCCGTACGACCGGTCCATAGCCCACAAATACAAATTTCGGCCGTGGTTATTGGTGGTTTAGCACATGTAAGACATGCATCTATCAATTTGCAATTGTGAAGAATGACATGGGATATCCGAGCTGCAAGTTCCTTTAATTTGACACATTATATGTACCTCAACTCCATCTACTCCGTACTATCTTCATTCTTCAATAATTGATCAAGGGTATCCTAGTTTGAACCAGTAAGGGGCATCAAAGCCTCACATAATCTAAATTATTAGTTTGTACCTCGGAGAGCCGACAATGCGCAAATCCGACAAGATATTGTCTCAGTAAGAATGGGCGATAATGGAGTGATCCATGTACTCGGGGGATATCGACAATATCCAACCAGACCAGATTCCCAGCCCCCAGTGGAGTGTGACAGAGACCATTTCTTTTGGTTCCCTTTCCAAGGAAGTTGTTTCGTGTCAAGTGATGGGTATGCAACATATAGCATCCACGAGACTCTTCCAGATGACCATCGGAAAAGATGTCTATTCTCCAATCACTTATTAGCGCTAAAATGGTTCTAGAAGGCGGTTTTTAATCTATTTAATTTTGAGCTACTCTAAAGTGGGTTTCCCAGTTCCCACTTTCCACACTCGGGTTGGATCGTGCTAACGCTCGTCCCCGGTACAATACATAACACTAGTTATACTAAATATATGTTGTACAGATGGTATACACGTAAGATAGTTGAAGTTAGGTCCGCGCGTGGTTGATGTAAGTGTGGGTAGATACAGAAGCATTCTCGAGCGTCTTTCGGTGATAATGCTGCATAGCATGACACAGCCTCGTTCCGAACTCCGGCTTTCAAGGCTAGTTTTCCACGAGCGCATTGCGTTAGACGTCCAACTTTATAGTTGTATACCTTGTTTCTTAATTATTAATGCATCTGAACTTAACGGATCATTTAATATTGTATGTATGAGAATCCTTTGGCCCCTCAAATGGGGCGTACTGGCAGCAGATGGCATGATCTCGACAGCCAATCCAAATACACTATCAAGGCCCACTTCACTCTTCCAACTTGAACCATGGTACTCCGGACGGAGTACGGAGTACAGCTTGTGAATCTCCACCTGGGCAATTTTCACTTTTGCATGAAACTACCTAAGTATCAGAGCCTTTCAGAATGAGACTTCGACCCTGATAGGTTACGCTGTATGCAAGACCGTTGGTTATCAGCGCCAGAACCATGTGCAATGGACCCGGGAGCTTGGAAACTTACCCACTTAGCAACGGACCGTTTCTCCTCGTGGAGATGACCATTGTTGAGAGAGGTGTGTGCTCATAGGCGACGCGCAATGAGGCTGCAACGAACGTTCGGTGTCTCAGGTATGGGCATGTTCGAGGCAAATCAGGGCAAGTCAATGCGTTGCAGTCGAGCAATAGTATTATATGATTACAACACGTTGTGAAAGCTCAGCTCGATTCTATTTGGACAAGAAGGGTATGTTTGATGTGCTTATAAAACTTGCATGTTCTGAGCCCTGGGGGTCATGACACACATACAACATACAAGGTATATATTCCAAGCGAGTACATAATTCAGTAAGCAGATCATGCTGTATGTAAAAAAAGATAGTCTTTTGTGCCGACGTGGGCATGTGCACAACATATATGTTTTATTCCTCGTCATTCATCGCACGAACTATTTGGAGATATTCATCTTCGGAGGAATCGGAATGCCAATTCAGGACACGATTTCCGATTAGGTTCATACGATTTGGTTAAAATCAGGGCCTTGACCTGGGACTAACCTCCAGGTTATCTTCATTTCTCGCAGATGACATGGTGCAATTGAGCATATTATGAGATAACGCGTAGATTTATATATATATATTAACAAGAAAATAGGTTGATAAGTACTTGAGTTTATACATATATGTTAACACCTTTCTAGCTAATAGCATGAACTTTTTGAGTCTAACCAAGGCCGGAGCAACTTAAAGGCCATACACGCAACAGGGAAGAGATCCCGAGCAAGCCATTACACCTACGTGAAGGAGGTTTACATAGTATACGTTGCATACTTGCTAGAATAGCATTATTGTCACCTTCCTGATTGGGAGAAAGTATTTATCGCACAACAAATCATATCTGGAGCAAGGTCACCACTATCTCAATGTTGCTATTAAACTCCGAGTAGCCAATACCTTACCCTTTGAACTACAATATATCTACTCCGTACTCCGTACGGAGTAACTCCTAAGGGAAAACCAGATAGCAAACCAAACGGCCTTGAAATTAAAAAGTCGCCACCATACCCCTCGTTCCTTGTTCCTTGCAGTCGGACATTGCGCGAGTCGCAGAAGACAATCATCACCAGTCACAAGCCGCGCCAACCGGAGAGATTCCCACCTGCCGAGACCTAATACTGCCGCTCGGTGCAGCACACATCCAATAGCGACTTGATCCCATTTCCTTGTTTACCCAGAATGTCGGGTCTATCCCATGCTCCCCCTTTTCGTTTCCTTTTTTTTTTCTCACCTCGATTTCAATGCGACACACAAGGCACGCCTGGCTCCCCACTTAATTACAATTCCCGCCTCACTTTCTATCGCATGGAGTAACACAACCCTAGTCCACCCGACTATGGAAGTCTATTTGTTGGCGATTCCTTTGTTCTCGAACATGGGCGCGTCGCACGTTAAACCTTGATGAATTTTGAGCAATCAAGTCGCGACACTCAAACGAAGAAGGTTCTCCGGGCCCTCCGTTCTCCGTCTTTTTCCCACTTTAGTACCCTTAGCCCGGTGTCCACCTTTTTCGAGAAAATTCCGCGGGACTACCTCCGCGCGGGGGGAGGAGGGGACTATCTCCGTTGGATAAGTAAGAGATCAGCAATATTACGAGCCCAGTAAAATGATGTTGAATATTATTGGCAATGTGATGAATCCGTGCTCGCATGTGTGGTGTATCCCCTGCATCGGAATAATTGTCCAATCAACGCGACCAATTAGCCAACGCGACAGGGGGGTGAGAGAGGCACTTGCGTTATATGCACGGCACGTTATATGTATGTACAGACACCGAAATAGCATGCAGCACCGACTGGCTGTAGGAGTATGGAGTAGTTCAATCTGTCTCGCAGGCAAAGAAAGTGGTGCAGAAACATAATTATGACTCGTCCGTCTGATATCAGAACGTGAAGCGAACCAAGATCCGGACGGGAGTGAACCATGGACCGGAAGGTCTTCCCCGGACATCCCCTTCCGTCACGATCCAGGGGTTGGTCGATCGCATCTGCGATTGATCATGTTTCCACTGTTCAAAACAAGGTCCTGGATGAACAGGCCTGTCATGCAGTCTTTGATCATCGACATGTACGAAGTAAAATAATGTATTGCACATTGTAAATTGTCGCTTGGACCATACAGTACTCCGTACGGAGTACCAAGACGAGGGTTCTGAATTCCATATTTTCACGTTTCATTCAATATCCACATGCTACACGCTACGCAAAAAAGCTTTCGTTTACCCATGTCTCTGGATATGGTTACAGGATGTGGGCGCCCGAAGCCCAGACTCGTGTTTCTCGGGACGGCCGGTGTGAACGCAGGATTCGGAAATGGGCTTCCTGGACCAAGTAGGCAGGCGCATTTGCGATTGTGTAATACACACTCTGAAACCCACTGACGGCCCGCTGTCTGGTAAGGAGCTTTACGACCTAAAAAGCACGCGTTGGGTGGAGAGAGACTCGAGTGGTCTTTGTCTTGGTTTGCCAACGCTGGGATGTTGGGGGTCCTCTTTGAAGACCCATTATTTAGCGAAAGTATATCGGTCATAGCGCGCACAATGGGGACCCTCGGCTTCAAGGCGAAATTCCATTTCGATTTACGCGATCAATGATGCTCACACCGTCAAGTCGGTTGAAGTCGAGACCGGTGGGGACACGCTTATTTAGTAGATTCCTTCTATCTTGCAGAAGCGGTGAAGATTAAAATATACTGACACGAAACAGGCTTCACCGACACTATAGCCTGGAGACGGCTGGCTTGGGCTGACTTACAGAATAGGACCCGAGTTGAGAGATTCCAGACCGTTC